GTCACATGGTCTCATATTTCCCTGTCACCAAGAACTTGTAGAATGACACACACAGCAACTCCTGGCTAAGCTACCCCTGGTCTTCTTGTCTCCAAAATGTGTGTCCCATTGAAATAAGAAGTGGAAGAAGCTGGATTTTCAACTTAGGTCTACCCCCTTAATCAAATAAACCCCGAAGTGCAGCTATTACAGGTTTTTCTATTCAAGTCTCAATCTTTCTACTCAATGTAAGGTCTTTAGATTTTCCAAAACTGTCTTGCAGTGGACCTTTTTAACCCACCCTCATGTGACGCAGATGAAGGTGAGAAAGGAAATGTACCTGTCAGGTATTTCCCACATGTTAACTCAGTTATTTCTGCAATGACCCTATGAAGAAATTAAGGCTCTGAGAACCCAAATGACTGCCTCAGACCACACATCCAAGTAGAGATGAATACGATGAATCTAAGTCCAGTGCCTAACATATGGTAACTGTTTGATCAAATGAACAGATGTTTGAACGAGCTATGTGTCCCACTTTTCCAGTATGTACAGCCTAATACAGAGGTTGCCAAATTATTCTCCAAAGGAAAATACTGTGGCCCAAGGCTGGACATGACAAATGCTGACAAATATAAGAGGTCCCAAGTCCATGCTTCAGCCAGAGAGAGCCCACTTGTTCAAAAATTCATTTTGAAGATAGATCTCCAAGGGTCCAAACACAGTGAAAAAGAATCTGCTTTTGTAAGCCATGTTTAACCCTCGAATTGCGTTTACAGAGCTATTGTTTCTTCTTGAACACAGATAATGTTGAAGATATTATCAAGATATCATGATAGGCTCTGGCTGGTGTGGCTCAGTGGATTGAGCTCAGGCCTGTGAACCGGAGTATTGAGGTTCAGTTCCCAGTCAGAGCACATGCCTGGGTTGCTGGCCAGGTCCCCAGTAGGGGAGCTTGAGAGGCAAACCACACATTGATGTTTCTCCCCCTCTCTCACTCCTCTTTCCCTCGCTCTAAAAATAAATAAATAAAATCTTTATAAAAAATATATCATAATAAAACATGTTTTATTATATAGCATTTAAATTACCAGAGGTTTTCTATAAGAAAATCAGGAAAGATAGAGACCTGATCTTATTCCAGTGATGAACAAAACTTTCCAAATGCAAACCCCAAAACTTATTTGAAAGTAAAACACTAAAATCTCTGTCTTCTAACATAATGTTACTAGTACACTTTTATAGGACTATGTGAAGAGGGAAAATATTTCATTCAATAGCTACAATATACCTTTAAAGTAGATTTTATTATTATTGTTTTGCAGAGTAGGAAACAGGGTTAAGGGATGTATCGACTACTTTATCATTAGAAGGTAGAAGAGCTAGGATTCAAGTTCAAATGTGTCTAACCCCAAGCTCCAAGTCTGTAATTCCCCACTCCCTCTCATTAATGTCTACAGTACTGGAGATAGACTGTACGCTTAATAAATGTGGAAAGAAAGAAATTGAAGCATAGACATATTTAATTCATAGAGTTATTTCTTCCCTGCTATTCAAGTACTTTATATCAACCCACACTGCATTAACTCAAGGCAGATCTCAAATCTGGTTTTAATGGACCAAGAAAAAGATAAAAGACATCCACCAGTAGCAAAAAGGGAGGTTTAAATGTATCTACAATATCTTTTTCCCTCTTAACATTAATCCTGAGTCTTTCTTTCTGTAAAGAAAATTGATCTGAAGATGCCTTTTTTTAACGTTTGAGTGAAATTCTTTTTCATCAGCTGAAGTCAGGTATTTATTCATTTTTGACAACAGTAGTACGAGAAGTTGATTTGACATCTTTCAATTTTTCCACAAACCATTTCTTATTAATAAAGTTAATACACCATAGACCCGCTAAGATCGTTAGGCCCTGAAGCATGAGATACATGGGATAGTCTGTAGTTTAAGAAAGTTTCTTCTGATTACTTCCTGCAGGGGTAAGGGAACGAAATAGTGAGGGGAAAAATTGTTGGTGCACTACAGTTTGTTACTTTTTCTTTCCTGCATAATTAACTATTCATACATATTTAAAATATTACAGATCCATGAAAAAAGATACCTGAAAAAATCCAAAATGGCCAAACAAAGGAGGGAAAACAATTGGGTGAAACATGTTTAGGTTACAACAATAAATGGGGTAAAAAAAAGAAAAGAGAAAACTCTAACCTTTTCATTGTCGAACAACTATTGGATAAACCTATAAATGGAAAAAGCAGGAAGAATACCAAAATGCTAAGACCTTACTTGTGTTGAGGTGGGAGAATTATGGCCATTTTTCTCCTCTTGACTGTCCACCTCAGGTGTGACACAGCTCCTTTGCATTTGCCGTGGGAGCAGCTGGAGTCCCTTCCGTGTCACTCTCCCTTCCCAGAGGCCGCTCCAGCTGTGAAGGCAGGAGTGTGGCCGTTTAGTGTGTTTCTGCTACTTCAGTTGAAGTAGAAGAAACTCACGCATCTGTTGAAGATGTAGTTTACATTTTTCTAGATATGGCATCTTATTTTATCCTTGATTAAACTATATATGCAACTTGATTTTTTTCCAGAGCTGTGTTTTCATATCGTCTGTTAATGCATGTGAAGTCTAGTTTAGTCATTGTATTTACACATTGCCTGTAGTTCTTTACTAAGCACGCCAGTTTTCTCATGTATTCCCCTACCAAAGAACATTAAGATTGTTTCAAATTTTCGCCCTTCCAAATGCTGTTGCAGTAATTATCTTATGTATTTACAGGTGAATATGAGCAAGTTTCTCTAGTTGTTTTTACCTAGAAGTGCTAAACGAGTAATTAAACAACTTTAGCTTTACTAAATATTGAAAAATTATCCTCCAAAATATTTGTGCCAGTTCTTACTCTCCAACCAGTGTGAAGAGTTCCTGTTTTCCATTTTCATGCTAAGTGAGATGTTTTTTCCAGCTAAGATTGTTACTAAACTGGGGTGTGAAACTAATTCTCATTGTCTTGATTTTTATTTCCCTGTTTACTGTGAGGTTGTTGGCTTCCATGATGTCCACCATGTGCTTTGGCCCAATTGTATATGGGTTTATTTGTCTTTCTATTGCAGGAATTTCCAGTACAGTTTCTATATGAACTCTTTGTTCCACTTTGCTATTGTTAAATTTGTTAGAGGTTAATCTAGTTAAGAAAATTTATCTAGCTGGAATGCTTTCTTGTATCTATTAAAATAATCTGGATAGGTTTTTTCTTTTCACTTGCGTTGTTCCAATATGATTAATTGCAGTAACAGAAATTCTGATTGTTGAGTCATCCTTTAAGTATTGGGAAATTTTTAGTTGTTTTAGTTACTTTTATTACTGATTCATTTTTCCATTATTTTATTCATGCTGAAATGTCTTAAGTGAGACTGGGCTGTATTTTTATTTCATTAATTGGTCATTTTGTGGTTTTCGTAACAAAATTATACTACCATTTTAAAATGAGTAGTGCAGCTTCCCTCTTTCTATTCTCTGCTACTGGTCACGAAACCTGGCTGGTAACACTATTATTAGGTGGAGGGAGAAGGGACAGGGGGTGAAGTGTGGAGGTGGGTGGGGAAACGGTGGGAGTGTGTACCATTGATTCAAGCCCTTGGGCGGTTTATTGGCCTATCCATCTTTCTCTTTCTTCTTCAGTCTCTGTGGTAATTTTATGTTCCTCTCTAAATTTGTTGATTTTCTCTAGATTTTCAAATGTATTTGCAGGGAACTGATCATAACATTTCCAGTTTTGTGCTCTTTCTGACCTCTAATTGGTGTGTGTGTGTGTGTGTGTGTGTGTGTGTGTGTGTGTAATCTCCCTCTAGCCTCCTTAATATTAACTCTTCCTTTAATCCTTTCCATCTTTTAATCTCTCTGTTCTGCCCTCTGGGTAACTTCCTCGGATCCAACTAACTGACCAGCTCTCTCTTCTGTGGCATCCAGTCTACTTTTCAACCTGTACATGAGCTTTTTTATTTCAAGAACTATATTTATGATTTCTATGACCCCTTCTCCAAGTCTTCCAATATGCACTTTCTCTTTTTATACACTTTAATGCCTTCTATCTCTCACTTTATTTCTTTGAACACATAAAATGTGCTAATATTAAAGTCGCTTTCATGTCATTCTGCTATTTAATTCTCCCATAAGTTACATCTTCTGACTCTCCAGTGGCTTACTTCCTCACGGGGCATGCACTTTGACTGGAAGCTTGTTTTGAGTGGAAATCATTTCTTTTAGAAACCATGGGTGTCATGGGTTGTGCGATCATGTTTACCAAATGACCTCACATCTGCTTTACTAGAGGTGGGGGCTGGACTTCGAGTAGCCTGTTGGCTTTGCATCTCTGACACACACAGATAGTGGGTGTTTAGAATCCATACCTGTGCTTTGGTGGTGGGTGTTCAAGGTTCGGAATTCTCATGGCAACTCTTACTTAGCTCTGTGGACACAGGCAGATAGCAGTCTTACACACTTAGTCCTGGGAGAGTGCACAGATATTTTTTAGAATTTGTTTTACAGGTGAGATGACATTTTGTGACTCTGGACTTCATGCTGATGGCTCAGTTTCAGCTTCCCACTCAGATGAGGCCTGTGGCTCAGACCTCTGACCCAGACATTGAATCCCCAGCAGAACAAACCTAAGACCTTTATCTGGTTCCAATTTTCCTAAGTCTCCCCCCAACCCTGCCCCACCCAGTTCTCATTTACATCTTTAATTGTGAGATTCCTCTCAATGTCACCTGAGGAGTTGACAGGTTACCTTATTGATTTGCAGATGAGCTATGCATTCTTTGTGTACTTCTTTGCATTGTTATATTTCATCCAGAATTTCTATGTATTTAGAGCAGAGCTGGCATGACTTTCACATCTGCTGAGGTTACCATATTGGCCAGACATACCTATATTACCTCTCTAATAGGAAAAAATACAAAGAGTTTTACAATATGTTTTATGAAACATTTTAGTTTAACTAACCTTTTTCCCTCTATGCTTCTCAGTGCCGAATTGGAAGAACCGCATAATTATGAGACAACAATTTCATATCTGAGACACTCTGGCAATTCTATTAACCTGTGCACCGCAGAAGAAATTGCTGATCGTAAGTCTACTAAGCCAATTAATAATGTAACGTCATATGGAATGAAAAAGTGTCAGAAATGGTATTTTCCTTCAGCTCACTATAAGTTTAACATTCACACCCATGCTGCTTTACCATCTAATTTCCTCTTTTGCTTTTTGTCTAGTCTCCCCAAAATATAAATACATCTCATTGGGCATCAGTGCTGCCTTCTCTCTACCTACATCTAATCTCTCCACCAATCCACTGAGATGCTTGCCTTTGGTCACTATGTGGGAGGGAAAATGAAGATATGGCGATTCATTTTCCTTCCTTGTCTTATGGTGTCCTTTTTGAGCTCCCTGGTAAATATATGTGTGCAGAGGGAGATAATAGACCGTGTGAATTAGGGTCCTGTGTTTAACCTGAATAGGAGCACAGGATTCATTGAATGGATCTGACCTACTAGTTCAGGGCTAAGTCTTTCTGCCCCTGGTATCTCCAGAAAAGCTCAGACTTTTCTTCAAAAAAAAGAGACCCTGTCAGGTAAGAAGATGAAGAAGCAGAGACTTACAGCATTTTTACAAGTTTCTCTTTGTTCTGCCTATAGGATCAGCTGATTCTCTACAAAAGGTATAGATGTTTGTGCCAGAATAAACACTACTGTTTACTGAGCTCACACTGTGGGCCAAGGTTGTGTTAAGTCCTCTGTGTATACCCCTGCTGATAGAGCGATTTTCACGCCCTTTTAGAGTCAGGAGACTCAGGGTCAGAAATTGAGTTACACACAGTCACATAAGAGGTATGTGGCAGAGACATAATGTGAAATGGGCTCAGCCTGCCTCTGAGAGCCACACTGTTTCTGCCATTTTATGCTGCCTTTTTTTCAAGGAGGTTTAGCTTCCCTCAGGAGGGTTAGAAAGAGATCCTCTGGTCCGACCTCCTTATGGTATAGACAAGAAGCCCAAGGTTCTGGGAGAGGAAGCCATTTGCCTACAGAATACATACTTAGGGGAATACACTCTTACGAAGCTTGTGGGGTAAGTGACAGGACCCACTGAACTTTCCCCCAGGAAATAAAGGCTTGAAGAACTACTGGGAAAATAACTCACTTTCTCCTACATGGGCAATGTCTAGGTTTTCCCACATGGCTTGTAAAATGCTAGCCATGAGAAGAGCAACTCTGCCCCCACTACCCCTAAAGACAATGATGGCCCATACCTGGCTTGTCTGGGATGCTGAATGACGGCATGGCTTCTCAAATTCTCACATTCCCATGAATTACCTGGGGATTGTGTGAAAATGTAGATTCTGACTCAGCAGTTCTGGGTCAGGCCTGAGAGCCTTCATTTCTAACAAGTTCCCTGGGGATGCTAATGCTGGTCCACAAACCACACTTTGAATAGAAGGGCTATGGGCCCCATTCGAGCTACATACCAGCTGCATGCCTTTCTACAAGGCTTAGGGCTCCCAGGGCCAAGGAGGCGCTCCAGTTAAGGCCTGCAACTTCTCCCTCTGGACTACATGAGACCCGGAGAATCACCCACTCCCAGGTGGCTCCTGAGATCCTACTCAGGTCTGTTGCCTTAGTCCTTTTCCCTCAGATCAGATGGGCTACAGGGTGAGCTCTTCATGGCTGGAGGGATGGGGTTTGCACATAGAGAGAGGGCTCCTCGTGGTGTAGGGTAAAGCTGAAGACTGGAAACAGGAAGTTGGTCTCGAGACCTACGTTTGTTCTCTCCAGGCCGCAAACGGTCCAGGTGGGCCGGCCAGGAGCATCATTCAAGAAACCCAAAGAAAGAACCACTAACCCAAGACTCTTCTCAGCCTTACTGATTCTTTGTGTACTTCCTTCATGGGTGGTGCTGCTAAGGAGGCAAGTGTCTCGAACTGAAAGAAGAGAGGGCCCAGAAAATAAGCCAGCAACACCACTCACTGAGAAGCATAGGGCAATTGATACCAAAGAAGTAGGGAGGGAAAGGGTGAGGGTAGAGAGGGTATCCCCTGCCAGAGAGGGCGCCCTTGTGGGACATAGTTATAGACCTGCCAGGGTTGAAGATACTGAGGAACTAAAGTCTGGGATCAAAATGATTCTGTTATATGTCCCCACTCCTTTCCCAGCCTCTCTCTAAAGTGACAAGCTGCAGTTACCCTACAGAAAAAAGAAAGGGTTACTCCCTCTCGTACCTATTCACTTAACTCTCCTCTTTGCACCACTTACTGGTTGCGTAACATCTGAACCTCAGTTTCTTCCCATAGAAAATGGGCATAATACATCCTTTGCAGAGTTGTCCCAAGAGTTCGATAAAATAAGGCATCTAAACTGAAGTGGAATTCTGCTTTGGGGAAGGTCAAGCAGATACATTATACTTTTCCCCCATCCTGCTGCTAAATGCAACTAAAACCCTGGATATTTACAAAACAAGTCTAAGAAAATTACAAGACTCTGAAAAAGCAGAAAGAAGAAGGTGAAGCAGCCAGGACCTCAGGACTTATGGAAGGGCAGGTGGTGAGTTCCCTGGTTTTCTTCCTGCCTCATGTGTCCCAGTCTTGGAGCTGAAGAAGCCGGCAACCTGGAAGCATCAATGGGCAGAAACAAAAACAGCTCCAACCAAAGCCTCCGCTTTCTAGCTGAAAGGGACGCCTAAAAAGACAGAAAGCCTCTAGAACATAACCACTGTGCTCCAGCCGAACACCACGGAAAACACTGTGGCCCCCACAGAAATGCTGAGTGCAGGCCAAGATACCATTCTACTCGGGCAGCAACCATGCACACCTGTCCCTCTTGCAGAAGTGGTTTCAGAGGAGACCACGTGGGGAATGTGAACTCCAACGCCCCACTCATCAGTGACAAGGTGCCTCTTCCTCTCCCTGTTGGGATGGTATCAGCCGAGACCTAGCAAAGACTAAGGACTTTCACCACCACCCAGGAGGGTATGAAGGAGGACACGTGGGGAGCAGTAACAAGATACTCTGACTCCTCTCAGCCGGGGTGTTAGCAGCAGAAGCAAATGGGGAGCTAGAGCTTCCACCCTGCCCAGCAGGGATGCAGCACCCTTTTCTCACCTGGGTATCAAGGAGGCCAAAACGTGGGGAACCTAGATTTCTGTCTCCACCTGGCAGAAGAAAGGCAGTCCTGCCAACTCATGCTGCCAGGAAAAGCCAGCTTAAACAGAATGTTTAAATAACATCCAGAGTCTCATAACTTAATACTCAGAATGTCCAGGTTTCAGTAGAAAGTTGCTCATCATTCCGAGACCCAGGGAAGTCTCGACGTGAATGTAAAGACGTGATCACTGGATGCCCACACTGTGACGACTGATGTGCTAGAACCTCCTGACTAAGACTTTAAGGCAGCTGTGATAACAATGTTTCACTGAGTGATTATGAACATAATGGAAACAAATTTTAAAAGTCTTACTGAAGAAATAGAATGTATATGAAGAGAAATTACGAAGACCCATGGACAAGGACCATGCAGGGGGAATTGAACTGGAGAGGGGCGGACAGGGGACAGTAATGGGGGGAAATGGGGCAACTATTTCCCCAATAAAAGAAAGAAAACCCAAATGAACATTTTAGAACTGAAGACTGTAACAAGAAACATAAAAAGCTCATGGATAGGCTCCACTTCAGAATAAAGGGAGCAGATGAATCAATGAACTTGCATGAAACAACAGAAATGACGCAGCCTAAACAATAAGAAGGACATAGACTGAAAAATAAAATGAACACAGCTTCAAGCTGTCTGTGGGACGATAGCAAAAGTCTTAAACTGGTGTCCTGGGAAGAAAGGAGAGCGGGGATCCCAATGAAAAACCACCTGCAGAAATGGTTACTGAAAACGGCCCAAACACGGCACCTAGAAATCAATAACCAAAGATAACAGGAACTCTCCGAACACATAGAAACAAAACAACACGTCTCTAAACAGTCCATGGGTTAAAGAGTAATCTCAGGGGAAATCGAAACACGTATCTGAACTGAATGAAGATGAAAATACTGCATATGCAAATTGGGGGGACACAGCTCGTGCAATGCCGAGAGGGAAGTTTGGAGACCCGCTGCTCACAGAAAAGAGAAGCCTCAGATCGGAGGTCCTACCTTAAGAACAGAGAAGAAGAAGAGCAAAATAAATCCAAAGCATGTAAAAGAAAAGAAATAAAGAACAGAAATAAGTGATTTTGAAAAAAGTAAAACAATAAAGAAAAATCAGTGAAACCAAAAGCTTGTTCTTTGAAAAGATCAAAAAAAAAAATTATCAGACCTCTAGCAAGACTTACAAAGGAGCAAAGGAGGAAGACCCAAGTTAACACCCTCCAGGATGAAACAGGTGTGATTTCAGACCCTGCTGCCATCAAAAGGGTAAGGGAATATTCCGACACATATAAATTTGACAACTTAGAAAAATGCAACAATTCCTTACAAAATGCACGTTACCACAATTCGGTATAAATCAATTGTTTTTGTAACATGAGTAATAATCATCTCACATCCTGGTGTAAATGGGGTAAAGAAACTTTTCCAAGGTCACACAGGGAGTCAGTACACAGAGAAAGACCCAAGGGCCTGCAAGACATGACCATGTCCAGCAGGTGGAGGGGACCTGAGGCCCACCTTGCGGCATTTCCTCTCGGCTGGGGGCAAAGCTGTTCGGTGGGGAGAGTTACCTGACTCTGCGTGAAAAGCAAGCCTGGTCTGAGTCCTCTCATTGTAATTCCTAGTCCCTTCCTCACCATCGGGGGTCCTCCGTACTTTATTTTCCTGACTTGAGAGTAAGTTTGGATCACAAAACATCATTGAATAACCTCCATTTTGTTAAAAAAACTTAAATTATGAATGTATTGTTAACTTTGTGTATCGTCCTTGTTTTCTGACCTTGCCAAGCCTCGGTTGCTCTGTTTCTGAGACAGAATAGCAACAACTCCCCATCCAGTGGCAAAGAGAAGCAAACACACCATGATTTGTTAATTTTTTTAATGAACTGGAGGAAGGAAGGAAGAGATTATCACTTTCTTTAATTGGAAAAATGTCTATACTTTGAATGAGGTCATCTGCATCATAAGCAGCATTTTTAAATGTATTAATAGCTAAACAAAGTTTTTTAAAAAATATTTTATGTGTCTATTTCTTTATTAGCAAGAGGGTAAGGGAGCAAGGAAAAGGGAGAGAAACATCGATGTGCAAGAGAGACATTGATTGGCCGCCTCTCGCACACGTCCTGACTGGCACCTGGCCGTGTGCCCTGACCAGGAACCGAACTGGCAACCCCTTAGTTCACAGGCCACTGCTCAACCCACTAAGTAGACCAGCCAGGGCATAAACAAAGTTTTTAAAACAAGTAATACCAGAACATTTTAATTCAAAACACATGAAAGTAATATGTACAATTACCCAAGTTGGCATACATATGGTGAATCATCCACACAGAATTTCAGGTCTGTTTGTGAACAACCACATGTAGGTGGTCCCTGAAGAAAACCTAGGGCTTCCTTTAATAATTGATTGGGTGTTTAGAATAATAACGGCTTGGAATGCAACATGTTGGTCAGTTTTCTAAGTGAAAGCTTCAGGACTCCAGCAAAAGGAGAGGAAAGAGAAGTGTGAGGGCAGGGAGTCCTACTTATTATGCCTGCATACTTATGAACAGCAGGAGAAAACTTTTATTGATCATTTTTAGGCAAGGAAAAATCAAATTAGCAATTTTATCAAAAACACATCACTCTCTATACAATGGTGATCTGCTCAGTATGTTCCATTTCTTACATCACCTGCTTTAATCTCATCATCTCTGTTAAGGCAGCTACCAACTGACCCCATTTCACAGATGAGCAAGCTGAGGTTCAAAGAAAGGAAGTAATCTGTCTACAATCCCACAGGAAGTGTCAGGACTGGGATTTGAACCCAAACTCTTGCCATTGCTTGTGTTTATTAGATTGGCTTCATGTCATTGAATAAGATCCACAGAACTGTTGAAATATAATCAACAGGTATTCAAGCCCAAGTTGGTGGTCGGTCTCCTCTCGCCAAGCTGTACTGAGAAACCAAACATTTGTGGAAGAGAGCACTCTGGGGCCTGCAGTGGGGTTCGTTCTGTTGAAGTGGGATTCGGACTCCCTCTGACCGGCTTTCCTTTCCTTTCCCCTTCGAGTTTGCTTTCCAAGGTGCTCCCAGTAAATTTCAGTTCTTTCTCTTAATCATGGCGAAGGAATGTATTTGCCAAAACAGGAAACTCAAAATTGTTTTGAATGTTTCCACTGACTGTACGTTCCATCAGGGAAATCCCCATGGAAACTAAATCTGCCATCAGTGACCTGAGAATCTCCCAAACCACCGAGACAAAGCCTCACCCAAACCGTTGTTATGAAGGTTAAGAAAACTGAGCTCTGCCGTCCTTCACAGTTGATTTGAGACTGGGTACTGGTGAGAAACTGGTATTATAAGACACTGCCTTGAAATAATTGTTTTTCATGTTTATTTTAGCAACTTATGAAGTTGGGATTGAAGAACTCCAAAAGGTATTGTTCCTCTGTTCTTAACACATTTCTAACTAAAACAAGGGTGCAGAGTTGATTCTAATGTAGTGTCTTATGAAGGAGAAAAGGTCATTGTTTTCAGTTTTCCTCTGATTTCTGAGGCTTTTCCAGACTCCGGCTGACGAGCTCTGAGGCCCAAGCCCTGCAGTGTCAGGGGCAGCGGGTGTGTGATGCAATGGTGGGAAGAGGGGGTCCTCGTTCTCCCCCACCCCTTGTCTGTGGCAGCCAGCGGCAGCCGGCCCTCGCTGTCTCTGCAGAGAGCAGGGTTCTCTGGCCCAGGACAAATTTGTACGCCCCGTGCTCTCAGAGAGTGACCGACCATACGCTTGGAGGCCCATTTTCTGGGCTCCTGGTGGGCACTCAGCCCCTCGTGTTCCAGTCACTAAGAAAGGGCGGCAACGGCATCCACAAGGGGGTGCTGGGTGACCCCTTGGAGGCAATGCGGCAAATTGATTAGGGCCCAACCAGAAATCACTGGCCTCAATCCCAGCTACTGGCCTGTGTAAGCTTGAACCTCCATTCCCATACCAATCAACTAGAGATAACAGAAATACCCACATCTGGGCTCATTGTGAGAAGGAATGTAAGGTGAATTCAGGTAAGCAGTTTCATAGGAAGTGCCTGGCGTCTGCTCCATGCATTTTGCTTTTCTGAGCTTCCTCTGTAGCTTCTGTAAAACGGTGTCTTCTCCCTGAGGGCAGGAAGCGTGTGCCTTGTGGTTACTGTATATCGGTAGTAGTGGATGCTCAGCACAGCGAGGGACCAACACTAGTTTCACTGAGTTGCTGGGAGAACTAAGACAGAGGAGGTAGGCACCTAGTACTGCACCTGGCACACAGTAGGCACTTACCTAATACTGAGACTGGGTCAGTTAAGGTTCTGCTCTTTTCTCATTGAGTACCTTTAGTTTAGATCTTTTAACTTCCTGCTCCAGTTTTCTTATGCTTACTGGAAAGGATTGCTCACTGTAGCCAGAAAACTATAAATGGTTATTATTCCTGTTAATGAACACAGAAGCATTCCATTAAAATGCTTCACTTACCTAGCAACATCAGCAAGTAATGAACTTTTTTGTAAAGTGAACTCTCCAAAGGACCAAATTTTATCCCATGCAAAATGAAAAAAGCTTGAAAGTATTTTTAATTTTAATTACATTTTTAGCCTTCAGCTGTGTACTATGTTCATCTCCGCATTTGGACTCTCTGTGGCTGGAAACCGTGGCTGCCCTTTCTTAGTGACTGGAGCACAAGGGGCTGAGTGGCCGCAGTCCCTGCTCTTCTTTGTGAGACGCCATTGGGCCCTGTGAGCGCTCAGCGCTGGCCGCCTTCACTCCAAACCGCCTGGAGCCTGTTTACTGTAATTGTTTCCTGACAATCGTCACTCCTTCCCACTCTCAGTATCTTCGAGTCTAACACCGGGTCTCTCGCGTGGTCAGGCCCGCGTGGACCAGGTCCCTGCTGCGTGCCAGGCGCGTGGGCACACACGGTAGCACTGCTTCCACTTCACAGGTGAGGCCTCGAGGCCCAGGGGGTCAGTAACCTGTTAGGAACGCAGCAGAGATCCAGACCGGGGCTGGATCTACCGGTGCTGCCGTCCGGGTTGCTCGAATTACACGGAAAATAAAACCCAGCGGTTCCCGAGTGGAGGCTCGGGGGGCTCCCCTAACCGGAGAGCAGCGGACTGCGGGACCTGGACGGCGCGGCAGCGTCCTGGGCGCCGCGGTTCTCTCTGTTTCCTTCAGGGTTCTTCCCTAACGCCGAACGGCATCAACTCGGTGGTGACTAAATCCCTGAAGGGCCATGTCGTCATCACTGCGACGTAATTTAGTGGAGCCAAACCTAGATCTCGCGAGACCTGATTTTTGATCCGCTGAAATACAGGAGTGGGCAAAAGTAGGTTCACAGTTGCCCTGTGATATTCTTTTGAGTTAATAAAGCCATTGCAATAATCATAACCTGTATGCCTTTTTTATCCATATGAACAGCGATAAACCTGTGTTTGCCCACCCCTGTATTGCTCAAATATCACAAATTCATACTATCTCATAGACCTTTAACCGTTCTCTATTCTACAGATGCATTCCTAGAAAGGTAGGCAGAAAACAGTTTGTTTTTCTAAGTGAAATCATACATCCCCTCTGGCATACACCATAACCTCAGAAATGCTTGTTTTCTTTTCGGATCGACCAGCAGCCCCCCTGGCAATAATCGGTTTTTTTTTCTGCTGTCAGTGTCTACATTTGCTTATACTGAGATCACACCCACCCCACCTGTTCATCTGGTCTCTAATGATCTATTGATTGATTGAGATTGATCTATTGAGACCAGATTGATTAGGGTAGACTAATGAAAATGACCATTTTCCTTTTTCTTTCAGCCTTGGAAGAGTTTTCTCCACCACGAACTTAGGTGAGTTTTTATCTTCAAAGGAAAGGATTAACCCAGGCACTGCCTCTCTGATGACTGCCTTGGTGTTCCTGGACGAGCCCACTCTGATTCCAGTGCCTGACCTGGGTCAGCACCCCGTGCCATGCAGGGTGCCTGGTACAGAGAAGGCGCCCCCACTGCTCTCACTCAGCACATCCTGAGTCCCCAGCATGTGAGAGTCACTGGGACTGTAGCAGTGACAGAAGTCTAGCCCCCACCCTCAGGGACTCCTGGATTGGAGGATATGTCACACAATCTGACAGTCATGTGACAATCATGGGAATCCCCAAGAACTTAAAATTTCCAAAATGCGCCATGCTATTTCAAGTCTCTTTGCCTTTGCTCATTTAATAAACTCACCCCAACGTAATGATCTGGCAAACTCCTACTGATCATCAAATGCCTCCTTCTATAAGAAGCTTTCCTTGATTTCCCCTTCTAAGGGAGTGGTAACCAGTTCCTTCACTGTGGTACCACTGTGAGGTACACATGTGTTTGCATTAGTGTCACAGTGCATTTGTGTGTTAACACGCCAGTTCATTCTCACTCCTCTCCCCACTCTCTTGTCTGCGAGCTCCAGTAGGCAGGGCCCATGTTTCCTTGTTTTGGTATTCCTGGCACCTCTCATGCCTCCTGGCCCAGAGCAGGGTGTTGGCACATAGCAGTGGTCATACCTGCCTCTTCAGAGTCACTTTGCCTCTGGAGTTATTTTTAATGCATTAAAATAAACATAGTTGGTGAGCTCTGGAGGAGCAAGAATCAAAATTTCCTGGCTGAGATCAGAAACACAGGCGCTGGATTATGGGCACCTGCTTCAGCTCCCTTTGCCCCTCTCCTTCAGTTCCTGCCGGGGCCCCATGATGAACCCTTTAGCACCTCGCACAGTGTGGACATATGATGGGCACATGTCAAATAAGTAATTACTCAGTTCAGCATGTATTGAGCTCATACTTTGTTCAGACACTGCAAGCTTTTGAGGTACAAAAATGAGTAGAATATATTTTCTAGCCTTGGTTCAAGATGGGAGGACTGAAGGCTGGAGTGCTTAGTTGGGGGGGGGATCACTTGGAGGGCATAGTGACCATGTAAGTGGGAAATTACAATATAATACAGTCACTGCCGTGGAAGTTGTAAAGACAGAGGAGGGGCTTCCAGCATGCTTCCTCCACGAGTGGGAGCCGAGCTGAATCTTGAAAGACACGTAGGAATTGGTCGGGTGAACATGTTGGCATGCAGGTCCCAGGCACCGGAGAAGTATGAGGCACCAAGTGTTGACCAGTGAGGCCGGGACAGGCCCCCACGAATGGTTTGAGAGTGCAGAGCATAACGTGCCACAGGAAGGAAGCTGGGGAAGCGTGCGGGCTGGACGCGGGAGGGGCCAGTGCTCCCTGATGCACCATTTAGACCAGCCCTTTCCAGCCGAAATCTACGCAAGCCATGTGTCATTTAAATTGGTTCTGCTAGCCATATTTTAAAAGATAAAAAGAAACAGTTGAAATTAATTTTCATAATGTGTTTTATTAATATTTATTCTGTCTAACCAGCATATTATTTCAACATGTAATCATTATTAAAATTGTTACCGAGGTATTTATATTCTTCTTTTGCATAGCAGGTCTTCAAAATCCCAATGTATTCTCATTTTACCCTTACAGCTCAGTTGGGACCAGACACGTTTCATGTGTTCAGTAGCCACGTGTGGACTGTGGCCACAGGGTCGGACAGCACGAATTTAGATTCTGTCCCGTAGGTCAGGGAGAATTACAAAAGAATTTCCAAGCAGAGATAATGTGCCCTCTCCCCCGATAATATTATTCCTATAAGTCACAATGTTAAATTTAACTTGAGTGTTAGTTATGGAGACCCAGCTGTGTAGAAAGAAACTGCTGGACAGGGTCTGGGGATGGGAAGACGCATGACAGAGGACATGTGCCTCAACCAGGCAGGTAAGCGCATTACAGGAAATAGCAATTGCAATGGGAAAGAAAAAAATCGGGTGATTCTAACTCAGCAAATGCTTTGATGAAGGACACCGACAATTATTAAGGGCCCATTACGTGCTATAAACAATGCGAGGCTTTCAACATATTTATCATACTTCATTCTTACAGCAACCCTGGAAATTGGCATTGTGACTGTTCATTTACGGATGAGAACATTTGATTTTTAGAAAGGTTAATCTTAGACTTTTAGAAAGACAAACAGTGTGAATTAGAACCCAGCCCTCACTTCACAGCCTTGTTCATGACAGAAGAACCAGGAATGGCCTGAAGGGTAGAGAAGAGTGCATAGTAATTAGATTAGCAAATGAAGCTCCTTCAGACCCTTCCCGCTGTCTTTCAGCACAGCTGTCGGTGTTTCTCCTTTTTTCGTGCCCACTCCTTTTCATCTGACGGCTCTTCTCTGCCTTCCATGGAGACATGGCTGTAGCGCTATCCAGTTCACACAATGCCAGTAAAAGAACTTCTCACATGGAGTCGATGCTCTCCAGCCTTCTGTTTTTGGTCCTGCTCTCACTACGCTCTCCACCTTGACTCTGTCCTCCACTCCCGCTGTCTGCACACTGGTGTGTGGCCACCATTCACGTCACTGGGGAACACCCTCTGCCGGGCGCTGTGCTATTGCTACCACGGGTTCTGTAGCACCAGTGGGGATACACACACAAATAAGAGAGTGCTGCCTCTTTGCAACTTGATTTTCAGTTAGTTGACAAGGGGTCATGGAGGTTTGGAGACAGATCTCTGGGCAGTCCTTTATAATACAAGGTAGAAGGACAATGTGTTGGGACAGCAGATAAGAAGGTAGGGCTGCTCAGGAGAATCAAGAAAAGATTCTGAGACAAGATGATTTGGACAGGCTGAGAAGGGTGCGGTGTATTTCAGCAATAGAAGATGTGGAAGGTGTGTCTGACCCAGGAAATAGAGACAAAAAGGGGGAGTTGCTCGAAGTAGCACGGTGGCTTTCGGGAATTACCGGAGTCTTGACTAGAGCAAAGATACACTATTGTGGTACACTATTATTTAAATATTCTAAACTTAATTTTTTCCTGGTATTTCTTCTCATTTCAGCCCTGAACGTGAAGATGATGATAAAAAAATAAAGGAAAAAGAGCCAGATGAATTGAAACCTCAAAAAAGAGAAAGGGACCTACCTTCAGGCCACCTTTTTGAGGTATCCGCATTCTAGGGCTCCAGACCAAACGGTACTGCTCAGCTGAGTGACCGGAGCAGTTCGTGGGGTGACTTTGGAGGCTGAGACATGTAGCTCTCCAGAGACAAAGTCAGGAGGTGCGGTGGGTTTTGAAGGCATTTTATCAAGGATATGAATGTGACGATTCACACTGAGCTCCAGCCTTGCACTTTCCAGGCCTTAGAAGCAGGGCAGGGACTAGTGTGAGGTCAGCGAGGCACTCAGTGGACAAAATACAAAGAGACACCCAGGGGCCGACCCTGCCCTTGCACAACCCCAGATGGAGGGTTCTGTGCTCTTAAACTCTGCTTAGAAAACTGACAGCCTCTAAACTCAGTCTTCCCATCTGTAAGATCAGAATAAATAATCTTACCCAACTACCATCCCCATGACTATCCTCAGTCATGATCATAAAATGAAATAATGTGTATGAAAGTGCTTTTTAGGCCAGAAGCTACCATAAAAATGAAATGTATTATTGTTGTCAATTAATTAACTAGTTGGCTGATTAATATTTATTAATAGTAAATACTGTATATTTGTGTGCATCAATATCCAATTGACACTATTCCCTCCAAAGTGGTGTGATTGGAGGCTTAACCAATAGATTCTACCAGGACTACTACCAGTGCTTAAAACATTCTAGATACTTGCATAATAGCTGCCTGTATAGATACCTTATAATATCAAACTGTTCCAGTTTCATTGGCAGAGACTGGAGAAATCAGTGTGGTGGTGGTGGGAGCCCACACTGGTGGGTTGGCCCAGAGGCCAGGCTGGACCAGGTTAGGTGTTTACAGAGTATTCACAAAGCAGCATGATTCAGAGGAGTAAGTCATTAACTATGAAAGACAGGGACCAGAGCCAGGAAAGCAGCATCTTGTGTCAAGGCCAGAGGGGAGAGGGGCAGGGCCATAAATGGGTGATGAGGCCAGAGGTCAGGGAGAGGTTTATCGGAAAGGCAAGAGAGGAGCCTGATTTAGGAATATTGATCAAGCAAGAGCAAGAGCAGGCTGCATTCTTTCTTGGTGTGGGCCACATGACGAGGGCCAGGTGTGGGGTTGGGCTACCACCAAAGGGACATATTCCTACGTTCATAGAGTGGATTTGAGTTTCAGATATTGTAAGATGTTATATGTAATGTGTTAGACAGATGTGGTGGGTGGTGTAGCCGGGCAGTGCTCTTTGAGGTCAAATACAAGCTATAAGTTGGTAGATACGTAACTGAAAGAAGGCGGCCGCCATACCTGTGTGAAACATCGACTTCATCTCTTCCTTGTCACCTTTCCCATTTAAAAGACTCCTTCCTGGCTGTATGACTAAAAAGAATTTCCCTCCTCTTATTCTCCTCTTAGTTTGCTTGGATCCCACTAAGAATGCAGGAAACTCCATGCCTTATGTCTATTGATTACTTTAGCTTTCTCCAAGTGCTTTCAGAGGTATCATCATGTCCCCTTGTAGTCAGAAAGACAGGGTTCCCCTCTCCTGTGCCGTCTGGTAAGTCGAAAACACTTTAATGGCCAGAATTCTCCCATTCTCCTCTGTCTCCAATGTCTCTTCCTGTCATTCTATCCAGATCTTTCTGAAATAAAAATCGGAACAGGATCTTTCCCTCCTGACTGCCTGCAGCATGAGGTGAAGCCCATACTCGGTTTCTTGAATGTAAGGCCCTTTACAACTCAGTCCCAGTCTCATTTCCAGTCCGTCTTCCCCTGCCCTTCGCACTGGCCCTTCAGATCCTCCCTGGTCTGTGGCCTCCATACTGCCTTCACGAGGACACGGACACTTCTTCAGATACCCGGGCCTCCGCGCTCGCTGCTTTATCTGCCAGGTGTTCCTTTACCCCGCAAGCAATGTCTTCCTTCCATTTTAAAACACAGTTTAATAAAACCTGCCTTTGAAGTCTTCCCCAGCCATGTTTCTGAGCCAAGAGATTTGACCTCCTCCCCTGTGTTTCCATCCCAGTGAACAATACTGCTGTAAAAGTCTCGCCCCATTATACCTTAGTTATTTGCGCGTATCGGCTCCTTGTGCATAAACCACCATGTTCACTGCATCTCCCTATCTCTGGAGCTTAGCATGTTGTCTCACTTTTGGTAAGTGTTTAACAAATGATGGAAAGAATTGAGGAGGAAGAGGAAAATGGTAAGTGGAAAGAGGGAACATCAGGCAAAAAGAATAAAGCATCCCTTAGGGCTCAAGAGCACAGGGGTCAAAGATTGAGTCCTGCCTCAACCTTTGAAGCCAGCTGTTTAACCTTTCCAAACTCTTTATTAAGAGGACCAATAAAGATTAAGAGTGATTAAATAGCTAAAGAGCCTGCCTTGTAGTCAGTGCTCCATTATATTCTGATTGCCCGCTGCAGCTGCCTCTGTGCCCAGCTTTCACCGGCCATTCAGAGGTGAGCAAAACATGCAGTATGAGTCCTCAGGAAGCTGAGAGCCTAGTAAGAGAGTGTTAAATAAAATCATAAATAATTGCTGTCTCTGAGGAATGAATAGATAACAGCATGAGTAAGCAAAGAACTAAACAGCTAAGTCAAAGCCCTGTCGCCCTGTCCCTGTTGCGTGAATTTAAGGTGGGTGCCTATGAAAAGACACCAGGCCAAGTCCCAGTGATGAAGGTTCACAGACATATGGAGAGCGTGCTGGCCAGAAAGCAGGATGCTGTGACTGACACCTTCCGGACAAAGGCCTACCCCAAGGACCCGAAGCTGGCCAGGCACTTCCAAAGCCAATGTAAGTTCAACTTTTCCCTGCTTTTCTCTACCACTAAATTATTTTAAAGCTGTGCATTACCAAGATTTCAATTTTTTTAAAGTATTTCTTGAACATCTGTTATGTACCAAGTCACTTGCCCTTGTGAGGCAGCTGAGCAGTAGTGGAGAGAGCACCAGATTTAGAAGCAGAAGACCTGAGTTTGATCTGGATTCTAACGCTTGCTAGCCATGTGGTAACTTCATATTCCTGTAGCTCAATTTCTTTACTTATAAAAAGACTAAATTGGAAGGTATGTCACACAATAGGTACTCAGCAAATATTTAGTCCCTTTTTAACCGACCAGCTCCTGTTGGGTATTTTGTGTAGGTCCAAGAATTGTTACCCTGACGATATAATAGTATGATATTGTTATTTGACTTTATTTAGGTTGCATTTTACCTTGATTGCAAGTAATAGTGAGTAATAGTCAAATCATACTGTCTTGAGGAAAAGAAAAAAAAAGGAGCCTCAGCTAGCAGAAAGTCTGGGTGGGTCCAGGGACACAAACAATATTATAAGGACTCGATATTACTTTTGTACTCCTGGCTTGCTTCGCTCTGGGTCAGCTCCATTTTTATACACATTCCACCCTTGTGGAGGCAAGATGGCATTACACAATGACAGACTTAGACCCTATCCTCTCAGGAACCCCAGAGGAAAACAACAAACTGTTATACTCTCAACAGTCACAAGGAAAGGCCCAGATCTGAGTCTCGCTGGCTCTGCTTGGATCACGTGCCATCCCTGAACCAGTCATTCCAAGAGGGGGATGTGATGCTCTGGTTAACCCAGCCTGGGTCATAAACTCACTCCTAGAGCTGGGAGTAGAGTCGGTTCTGGAAAAACTACATAATCCCAGATTGAAAGATTTCCCAAGGTAAATAAGAGGGCTGTTATCAGAAAAGGTGGGGGGGGAGAAGACACAGGACATACGAAGAAAACAGATGTCCACTTCAGCTCAGTAAGCCACAGCCAACCACTGACATTTCATAAAGTGCCATAACCCAGTTATAGAAGGACAAATGTATAGCGATCATAAGATGGACTCCAGGCGCCTGAGGCTAGCCACACACCCTCTTCCCTGCACACTCTCTGCTCTGTTCTCAGCTCACTGACTATGGCATGTGCTTAAGAGCTCTTGTAATTTTGCTTGATCTCTTTCCTCTGTCTGAAATGCCTTTATGCTTGTTCTCTACCTGCTGATGTCCTATTAGTCCTTTCAGGTATACTTCAAAAGTCACTTCTTTGAGGCCTCGCTAACCTCCTTCCATCCTCCTCCTTCCCACACTCCAGGGACCACAAGTCTTCCCACCCCTGTCTCCATGACACTGAACAACTGGATGACCACGCTGTTGTGTGAGGCTATAGAGTGGACCAGTTCTGGGACCCAGGAGCACTTCATACTAATCCTGTAACCTTGGAAAATGTCCTTACTTTCTTGTGTAAATGAGGACACTACCACGTATTTCCCAGTGCTGTTTGTCACTGCATATAAAGTGTCTGGTTCATATGCTAAATAAGTGTTAGTGCTCTTCATTCGTTTTTATTTATGAAAAATTACAGCACGCCTTGCATTATAATTCGTCATGCACATGCTTGTCTCCCATGGCATACTGTGAGCATCTTGAGATCAGAGACCATTTGGTATTCTTCTCTGTATCTCCAATAACCTGGCACAGCGTCTGGCATACTTGAGCTGCCTAACAGAATTTTGGTAAGTAAAGGAATGAAAGAATAAATCAGACTTTAGTTTCTGACAATATAGTAGATTAGACAATCTGGCTGTCCTGACAGAAACAAGAATAAAAGTTTTTAAAATTTATAGAAGTATCATAGAACTGATATAAAAAAAATTTACATACCTGCAGTAACCAGGAATCCTGGGAAGAAGTAAGCTCCAAAATTAGTTTTGCCCTGAGGGTTTTTACTGAGCTCTGAATCCCCTGAGCTCCCATTTGACTGCTTCGCAGGTGGACTGCAGGGGCTCCATCCCAGGGCCTGCCCAGAGGGAGTTTATAATGGGAGACTCCTGCATAAAGTTGGCATCCCAACAGGTTACCGCCACACTTCAAGAATAAACAAGACTGTGCCTTTATTTAACATTACTGTGCTGTGTACTTATAAATCTAAGATGGTAGCTCTCACAGTAAAAAAAAAATTTAATTAAAAAAAGATTTGGGGCAGGGGAGACATTTCTGGTTAGGTGAAGGAGAAAGCACAGAGGTAGCATTAATTTTAAATTCCTGACTTAAGATGAGAAATGGACAGAATTATTTAGATTATAGGGGGAGAAGTGGAAGAGAAGAAATTAAGTTGCAGTGAATAAAATAGCTAAAGGAGAGCCCTGAATTTGGGGGCGAAAGACATTCTCATACAATTACAGAATGTCCATGGAGGGTCACTGTAGATGTGGGGATTATGCTATGATGAGAACAGTCTGAAGAGGATTATTCTCACTAGTCCACATGTATCACTAAAGTGCAGAGGGAGTTGCTGAGCCCATTAATAAGTCTTTACAGTACTTATGATGGGTAGCACAAAATGCTTAGTTGAAGAGAGTCAGTATGAAACAGAAAAGTTTGAGAAAAAAATGCAAGTGTTTTTATTTAAATAATCCTATTCAAGTAGACCTCGCTTGAAAAAAATGAACAAAATAAAAATATTGCTTCTTTGACTGGAAAAAAAAGAACTAGCAATATAAACCCCACTGAGAAGAAGCAAATTTGCCCATTTTTACCTTTATGTTAAATTAGTTATCAAAAGCTAATCCTCACGTGTATCTGTAGGTCAAATTTACCCTATTGGTGTGGTCCAAGAGAAACCCAGTTGAATCTTAAGTGGTACTGGCTTGGTAGCGCTCCCAGACAATTGGTAAAAATGAACCTAAATCCTCTTCGATCAAATTCTGCCTTTACCCTGCATTTTAAATAATTCCCACAAAGTGATTTTTTAAAAATTTAACAGTTGATAGACAAAAACAAAACTAAACTAAACTAAACTAAACACACAAGGAAACAAATCACACTCAGTAAAAACTAGCAGAAGAACAGACAAGAGAAACCAACCTGCAACTTCTGGCCAAGATGGAGACATAGGTGGAAATACTGTACCTCCTCACACAACCAAGTTTAAGAACAAGAAAGATTTAGAAACAAAAACACAACCAAAGCAGACAGAAAACTTAACTGTACCAAAATCTGACGACAATGAACCATTCATCGGGATTGGTAAGAGGGGAAGAGTCGGCAGCTGGCAGAGAGGGGTCTCAGCAGGAAACATTTGGCAGATCCCAGGTGTGGGGTGGCAACAGGCAGATCTAGTGAGGGGGCAAGGCGGCTGGCTGACCGAGGTCACATATTCACACACAGATAAACCAGGCGAAAAAATGGTCAGTGAGACAGACCGTGCAACCCAGCGCCCCAGCAATAGGAATTAAAGCCTAAAACCACTGATTGGAGAAACTTTTGGGGGTTGGGGTGCCAGAAGAGGTTCCCAGCTTCACAGGAGAGTTCAATGGAGAGACCTACAGGGTCTTAGAACAAACACAAGCCCACACACTCAGAAAGCAGCACCAGAATGGCCCAATTTGCTTATGGGAAGTGGCAGAGGGGCTGAGAGAGAGCAGAACAAACGCCATTGCTCCCTCTCTGAACCTGCCCCCACATACAGCACCACAACCCAGGGACATGGGTTGCCCCACCCTGGTGATACCTAAGGCTCTGCCCCTCATATGTAACAGGTGTGACCAGACCAAAACATTATGGCTCAAGCAGAAGAATAGTTCAAAGCCCCAGAGCCAATACTTCTAAGTGACCAAGAGATAGCCAACCTAACGGATGCACAGTTCAAAACACTGGTGATCAGGATGCTCACAGAACTGGTTGATTTTAGTCACAAATTGGATGAAAAAATGAAGGCTACACCAAGTGAAATGAAGCAAAATGCACAGTGAACCAATAGTGATGGAAACAAAACTGGGACTAAAATCAATCAAGTGGACCAGAAGGAAGAAAGAAATGACCAAAGAGAAAAGAATGAAGAAACAAGAATTCAAAAAAATGAGGAGAGGCTTAGGAACCTCTAGGACATCTTCAAGTGTTTCAACATCTGAATTATAGGGGGTACCAGAAAGGGAAGAGGAGCAACAAGTGGAAAACTTATGCAAACAAATAATAAAGGAGAACTTCTCCAGTCTGGCAAAGGAAATAGACTTCCAGGAAATCCAGGAAGCTCAGAGAGTCCCAAAGAAGTTGGACCCAAGAAGGAACACACTAAGGCACATCATAATTATATTAGCCAAGATTAAAATGAAGGAGAGAATTCTAGAAGCAGCAAGAGATATGGGCAAACAACAAATGTTGGAGGGGTTGTGGGGAAACGGGGTCCTTAGTTCACTGTTGGTGGGAGTGCAGACTGGTACAACCATTATGGAAAACAGTATGGATTTTTCTCAGAAAAATAAAAATCAACCTGCCTTTTGACCCAGCAATTCCACTGCTAGGATTATATCCTAAGAATCCTAAAACATCAATATCAAAGAACCTATGCACCACAATGTTCATAGCAGCACAATTTACAATAGCCAAGAGCTGGAAGCAACCTAGGTGCCCATCAGTAAATGAATGGATCCAAAAATTGTGGTACATATACACAATGGAATTCTATGCTGCAGAGAGAAAGAAGGAGCTACTACCCTTTGCAACAACATGGATGGAACTGGAAAGCATTATGCTGAGTGAAATAGGCCAGGTGCTGAAAGACAAATACCATATGATCTCACCTTTAACAGGAAGCTAAACAACAAAACAAACAAGTAAGCAGAAAAAAAAAACCCAAAGAACAAAGACACTGAAATAGAGAACAAGGGGATAGTGACCAGAGGGGAGAAGGAAGGGAAGTTAAGGGGAAAAAGGGGGAGGGATTTGGAGGAACAAATAGGAAGGACACAGGGACGAGAACTAAGGGGGGGGGAGGAAATGGGAGGGAGGTGGGGAGCAAGGGGCAGGGGAGGCTGGGATGGGAAAAATAGACAAAAAACTGTACTTGAAAAATAACTAAATAAAATTAAAAAATTAAAAAAAAAATAAAGTCACATTTTAAGATAAAAAAAAAAAAAAAGAGATATGGGGACAGTCACCTACAAAGGAGTTCCCATTAGACTGTCAGCTGATTTCTCAAAAGAGACCTTACAGGCAAGAAGGGGCTAGAAAGAAGTATTCCAAGTCATGAAATCCAAATACCTACAACCAAGCTTGCTCTATCCAGCAAAGCTTTCATTTAGAATGGAAGGACAGATGAAGTGCTGCCCTGACTGGCATAGCTCAGTGGATTGAGCATGGGCCTGCAAACCACACGATTGCGGTTTGAGTCCCAGTCAGGGCACATGACTGGGTTGCAGGCCAGTTCCCAGCAGATAAAGTGCTTCTCAGATAAGATCAAGTTAAAGGAGTTCATCATCACCAAGCCATTATTATATGAAATGTTAAAGGAACTTATCTAAGAAAAAGAAGATAAAAAAGATGGACAGTGAAAGGACAGCAAACTCACAGTTATTAACAACCACACCTAAAACAAAAGCAAACTAAGAGGATAGCTAGATCAGGAGCAGAACCATAGAAATGAAGATCACATGAAGGGTTAGCAATAGGGAAGTGAGAGAAGGAGAAGGGGGGAGAAGGTACAGAAAATAAGTAGCATAGACCGTAGATAGAAAATAGATAGGGGGGAGGGCAAGAATGGAGGGGAAATACAGAATCTAAAGAACTTGAGACATGTGGTCATAAACTAAAGGGGGGGAATGGTGGGGGAGGGGTGTGCAGGGTGGAGGGAAATGAAGGGGGGAAATAGAACAACTGTAATGGCATAATCAATAAAATATATTTAAAAAATAAATAAAATAAAATAAAATAAAATAAAGCAAGGCCTACAAAGCACTCAAAACTAGTTAGTCAAAGAAAGAAGAGGAGGAGGAAGAACAAACATAACAATTAAGTCTGGATGTGAGATCTTAAATGTCTACCCAGAATTATGTAACTTAGTGAAAATATCTGTGAAGAATGAAGGAAAAAAAATAAAACACTTTCAGACAAACAAAAACCGAGCTATTTTAATGACCAAAATTTTCTAAAGGAACTTCTAAAGCAGGTACTGAGGCAAGAGGAAAATAATCCCACATGGAGAATTCTGGATGCAAGAAAGTAAGCTGAGCAAAAGTACCAACCAAATAAAACATTGATGTCAAATTAGGGAAAAGAGAACTAAAATACTGACATTAATAGTATATACCTTGGGGAGGTGATCAAAGTTGAAGACTTCTAAGGTTTTCAACTGACAGTAACAACACTAATTTACTTTACCTTGAAGAGAGTTAGAATAGCTAGGATATATTCATCAAAAGATTCCAATCAAAGAATGAAAGTCATGTTACAGAGTGGAAGGTATTTGATTTAGGACAGGGGACTGAATCAAAGGACTCATGTATGAAATATATATGTGAGTTCTATAAATACCCTTCTGTCCAGAAAATATGAAATGGAAATAGTTTATATTTCTATAAACATCCTATATTTAGACTATATAAAATAGAAATTATTAAGAAAAACATAAATTTAGAGAAATTGGGAAAATATTTGAATGGATACTTCACCAAAGGGGTTGTTATCCAAAAGGCCAATACACTATATAAAGCTGTACAAGTGTCAGGGAAATTACACTACATATCCACCAAAATGTGTAAAGTAAAAAAAAAAAAAAAAGACTAAATAAATCAAGTATTAGTGAAGTTATGGAACAACTTGAACTCTTATTTATACACTGTTGAGATCATAAACTGGGATGATCACGCTGGGAAACTGTTCAGTGATATCTATTAAATCCCAACATGTGCATATTCTGTGACGTAGGAATTCCATGCCTATTCTCATACCCAACAGAAGTGCATACTTCAGTCTGCCAAGACATATACAACTTGTTTATGGCAGAATTCTTTTTCTATAATAGCCTTAAACTTGAAACTGTCCAAATATCCATCAAAAGTAGAATGGGGAAACAAATTATAGTATATTTGCACAACAGTTATAAGAATGAAGAAAGTATAACTATACCCAACAATGTGGATGGATCTCGCAAACATAATATTGAATGACAGGCAGCACCAAAGATGACATTCTAAATGACTTCATTAATATAAAGTTAAATATGCAGAATTCACCTCTGGTATTAGAAACTAAGAGAATGGCCCTGGCTGGAGTGGCTCAGTGGATTGAGCATGGGCCTGCAAACCAAAGAGTCACTGGTTTGATTCCCAGTCAGGACACATGCCTGGATTGTGGGCCAGTTCCCTAGTAGGGGGTGCTGGAGAGGTGACCACACATTGATGTTTCTCTCCCTCTCTTTATCCCTCCCTCCCCCTCTCTAAAAATAAATAAATAATTTTTTTTTTTTAAAAAAAGAAAGAAACTAAGAGAGTGGTTCTCTTGTGGGAGGGAATAGAAACTAGAAGGGAGCACAAGAGGGCGCTCTGGGACATTAGTCCTGTTAAGTTTTTTGATCTCTGTGCTTAGTAATACATGCATATATTCAATTTGAGAAAATATGTTGAGGTTGTGATTTGTGCCTTTTCTTGTATATTATACTTTAATTAAATTTAAGAACACAGTATGGCAACTGTTAAAATATAAGCACAGCACACATAACTTCCAAACAAAAAAAATAACAAGACCGAATGAAGATAAATTTCAGTGAATCAGGAAAGAGGAAGACAAGCAAAAAAAATAGAGCAAGTAAAAGGCATGCAATCATGTAATAAGATAGTAAGTATAGATTTTAAAATACCAGTAAACACTCTAAATTTACTACACAAAATTCTCTTGTTAGGAGATCTATGCATTGAAATCATTCAAAATTAAAAACAGTAGTTGAGTACCTTTTGCGTGCCAGCCCTGTTCTAGGTGCTGCGGGTATCACAGTACACAAGACAGACAAAAAGTCCTGTCTTCATGGAGGTTACATTCTGACCAGAGGAGACAGATAATAAACACACAAACAATAACATCACCACTGTGTGGAATGGTAGGAATGTGATGTGGAAAAAGTAAAGGAAAGAGAATTAGGGAGGCTGGTGGAGGCATTAGCAGCTGCAGTTTTAAAGTGCTCATGGATGGCCTCAGAGACCTTATACATAAGGAGGCACAACCAGACGTGGGAGTGGGCCCTAGGTGCACCTCGGGGAAGGATGTTCTGAAATGAGGGGAAGAGAAGTGGAATATCCCGAGGCAGGAACCTACCAGCTGTGTTGGAGGAACAGCGAGGAGGCCAGTGTGAGGAGAGCAGAGTGACTGAAGGACAGTACAGCTGGAGATGAGGTCAGGGATAGTGCGGGGCAGATGGTGCAGGAGTATTTGTAGACCATTGCAAGAACTGTGGTATTTACTCTAAATGAGATTTGAAAAACCAATGAAAGGTTCTGAGCATAAGCATGGAATGATCTTACTTGCATTTTAAAAAATCGTCCTGGCTGCTGTCTTGAAAATAGAATGTGGGATAAATGAGGGGACCCGTTAGGAGTTTGCTGCAATAATTTAGCTGACAGACCACAGTAGCATGGAAGAGGGGGCCGCAGTAGGGTTGGTGAGGTGTGTTTGGATTGGGGATGTAACTTGAGAGTGGAGCCGTGGGTCGGAGGCAGGATGTGAGACAGGATGCAACCAAAAGGACAGAGTTGCCACTTCTTACTGAGTTAAGCAAATTTCAGGCAGAGCAAATTTGCAGAGAGAAATCTGAGTTTGCTTTGGAACACAGTATGTTTAGACAAGCAAATGGAAATGGTGTGAAGGCTGACGGAGTATCTAGACTTCATCGGAGATGTCCAAGTGAGAGCTGTCAGCTGTGGAGTTGTCTGTGCTTGTAAAATGAAATCATAAACTTCTACGTCTGTATTTGCCAAAAGGAAGGATTAAGAAAGAAAAAAATTGTCCCAAACTAAGAATTAAGCAACTTTGTGTTCAGCATCTTTGTTTTGTGTGGGAAAAGTTTACTGATGTCTTCTTAAGTAAAAAGCAGGGCCTCCTGCCTTTGGAGCTGACCTTCACTGACACAACTTGGGGCTAGATGCTGATTGACTTCACGTTGGAGGGAAGAACCTTGTTCCGTGGTTCATTTCATTAATGGACATAACTCAATTTGCTTATTGTTAACTTTGCAGATATATTACTACTTATTTCTGATTACTAGTTCATGTCTCAAAATGGTTCTGAAACACCCACAATCTAACCATTAATTATGCCAACAGATAAAAAGGTGACAATTTTGTCACCTTTTTACAGTTACAACAAAATTACAGTTCTGTGACATAAACCAGTCCCTGCCTTTCACAGCCTAGCTACCTGTGCAGACAACCCTCCACATTTTCCCCTGGGTGAACAATCTCCTGGCTGATTCCAGGGTTAATGAATATTAAATGTTGACACATATTCAATCACCTTGTCCAACACATTTTTCTTTAAGAAAAAAATGTACAGAACTGGGTAAGGTCATCTAGGTAGAGAGAGAAGCCCCAGGGCTGTGCCCTAGAGGACTCCAGCGTTTGAGGTCAGGGTTAGAGGAAGAGCCATTTAAGAAGAGAGAGGAGTTGCTGGCTCTCTGGGTAACTAGCCCCTTTCATAAACAGGTGTTAATTCTCGCCACAGTCATGGAAGAGCAGGTGTTATGCATCATTATCCCAGCTTCTGAGTCATAACAGAGCCTCTGCTAGGGGAAGTGGTTTGCCAAAGGATCGTGGAGACCAAGGTTATAAACCAGTTTCAGCCCATGTACCCTGCCTTTTCCTGTTCTTGCCTCTGTCACCATGGTGTGTGTGAATGCGTTCATGATAGTGCTTTCTCTTCAGAGGCTGTCTCTGCTTTCCCGGCAGGTGGGTACGTGGAGGCCTTGGAGGTGACTGCAGGAACACCAGGCCAAAGGCCCTTTAAGCCCAGTTCCACCTCAGAAGAGACCTATGATGATGTTGAGTACCCTGGGAGAAAGGGGTAAGTTCATTCCAGCCCCTCAGCTGTGGGGTGAGACTTTAAAGGCACAGCGGGACCGATTCATGGTCTTTGTTTCCTTTCTCCCCATAGATCAAGGTCAGACTTCTCGAGCTCATTTGTCTCCGATAGTGGTAAGTATAGGAAGATGTTTCTGAAACTGCCAGTAGGAACTGCAGCTGTGGCTGATTAATGATAAACTGTCTTTTGCTTGCACATATTTTCAATATTACCAATGGTGCGGGGTGACGGGAAGCCAAGGGAAGCGGCCTGAGGCCTGTGTTAGTAAATACATTTCGACAGGTGAAGGTGAAGATGCTGGTAATGGGGCTCTGGGGGCAAAAAAAGCAGCTTCACTGTGAAACTGCTTCCTTCCTGATCTGTTCCCAGTGGAAGTCTGATTACAGGAATGCTTTTACTTAAAACACTTACAGGGCTTCCCAACACTTGTACGGCCCACGTTACATGGTCTACAGGCCTTGGGAGGGGAGGTTGGCACCTGCCTGCCTCTGCGGCCTGCTCTCTGCGCTCAGTCTCCACCTGTGAGATCCACCGTGCCTCTTCAGTGCCTCCGACCTGCTGGGCACCCACCAAGCTCCTGCTGCAGGGTGTGAGCCCATGCTGCTCCCTCTTTCTGGTATTTTATCTCCTTCCTGTACCCCTTTGCCTAAGTGACTCTTAACCTTTCTTCTGATGTCGGCTCAATCATTATTCCAGGGAAGACTCTCCTTGATGTATAATCTCAGGTAACATGGCTCTCTTTTTCACAGCACTTCTCAGAGGTACAGTTTTATATTTACGTGATTCTTTGCGTAGTGACTGTCTTCCCCCTGAGATGGTTACCTCCTTTACGTTTACCATTTTCCTTAGCCTCCCCCAGCATAATGCCAGGTACATCCAATACATTGTTAAAATATTTGTTGAATGAATGGATGAAAAAATAATGGAGGAGGGATAATCAAATGCTACTTCGGTTGCATTTGTCCTTCTTAAAAATGTCCGAATTTTAGAGGGAGAAACCATCTTAGAGATCATTAAACACAGTACCCTCATTTTGAAATGGAAAATGAGGCACAGGAAAGTGAAGTGACTCTTCTACATTCAAGGTGTATCAGTCAGGTTGTGAACATGAAGACTCTCTGTGGTCTGGGGGACTCAAAATGTATCTGTGTTTATTAAGCCCATGCATTGGGGTAGGCTAAGCCTCTGCTCTGAAGGGAAATACCGTTCAAGATGTATTTGTTCTCCATTATTTCTGTAGAATTCAACCCAATGATGTTTAGTGGACTCTGATCGCTACATACTAAACGTGCAAAAGGGGAGGGTAGAAGGAAGCAATCTGCTAATAAACCAACTTTCATTTACTAAATCAGTCCCACTGTGACTTGGGGGTGGAAGCAAATATTAATTTTTGTTTGCACATACTATTCCAGAGGTTTAAGTACTTTTACCATATACTTACAAAAACATGAATGCTTCCATAAAAACTATTTAACAAACAAAAGAAAGGTCAAAATACTCTAGCACCTAGTAGGTATCCAATAATTTTTTGTTAAATATGAACCAGAACCACTGTCAATTAATGGGTGAATTTTTTTTTAATTTCAGAAGAAAATAGTAAAGAAATGTATGAAGATGTATACAAAACAAAGAGCAACTCCACCAAGATAGAGTGAGTTTCTCTCTTTCTTGGCTTCCTGGCTAATGATATCTCCTATTAGTCTATCCAGGAAAATCACTGTAAGAAGTGACTCCCTTCCCTGCCCCCACCTTCTTTAGGGAGGACTTGCCCAGAGAGTGCAGGTAAGCTATGGTAATACAACATTGTGGTACATGGAATACTCGTAATTATGTACAGGCACATGGCATAAACTTCAAATCACATTGCTTTCACTTCTGAGAAAATGTCCATCTCCCAGAGTAGAGGACTTTGATATTGCATTAGAAGATAAGTGAGAAAGAAGTAATTGTCAATAAAACTTGCTTCAATTCTATAGTACTTTCCCAGGAAGAAATCAATGGTTGTCAAGAATATTTATTCAAGTGGGTATTATTTGTCAAGTTTAGTTATTAGGGGCATGTTATGGAAGAGAAAACAGCCATGGTCAAAAGCAAGAAGTATATAAGGGTTGAAAGAAAAAAGGGGGGATCAGTGCTGGGTGGGAGGGTGTGGATGCTTCATTCCCTCTCCCTACCTACCCCCTGAAACCCAAGAGCACATTTGGAAAGATCTTATTCATCAGCTGGGCAGTCAGTGTACCACCATTGTTGTATGATATCATTCAGAAAATTAAAAATCAGTGACGTGAATTTTAGGAGTCAAGAAGTCCTATAATTTATTTCTAGTATCATTTGTAAACTCTGCCTCCACGAGTCATCCTCTCTGAAAGGAAGACTTTCCTCTACAGATTGCAAAATAGAGACCATTCATCATCAATGAAAGTTTGCACTGATGTGTAATAGCTCCTTCTGTGGCTGACTGGTTCGTGCTACTTCATATGGGCACCAAAACAAAGAAGAGCAGAGAAGTGTTGATAAGGCATTTTCCTGCTCTTCCTCGAGTGGGGTGTTTTAGAAATGACACCAAAGCCCTTGATCCTTTCGACTATGCCTGCCGTTTGTAGTACTCTCTCAAACGCTGTCTTTATATTCTCTGATTCCTCTTAGTTTAGATGGAAAGGCACTTAAGAGACTGCAGAGATTCTTCAAGAAAGAAAAGGATAGATTTAAAATGAAGACGACCAAGTTGAAAGAAAATGTAAGGTAAAAAGTCCCTTTTTATTTGTGTTTCCAGGAGAGAATTAATAGTGCTGGCCTGGTAGTTACACAGTTTGATGGTCTCCATCCTGTTCTCAGACACAGTGAGGGCAGATATCAGAAAGGAAAGCTGAAGGCCCTGGCTATCACCTCCCTCCTTCTTGCCAATCCTTGAGTGAACCACACCACAGATGCTAATAAAAAAAATAATGAAGTCTGTTTTGAGAAGACCAGTGAGAAAAGGTTGTAAACAAGGGTAGAGGGAAAGTCTTCAGCAAAGTCCAGAAAGGAAACTGACCTTATCATCCTTGGCATATATTCCTATTATCTCTAAGCATTATATTATTAATTACATCCTTTTATGCTTTCTTATTCCAACAAGCTCCAGTGATTTTTATTTGTCTACATTCTAATTTGCCTCTCTTGAGAAATGCAGTGTGTGGAGAGGGAAGATGCAATTTTCAGCTGAATGGTCCATGTATCTCAAAGTCTTACACCTGGAAAGAACCCCCAAGATCACCCCAGCTAATGACCAATGTTTGGAAGGTTACATTTTTACTGGTAATAGCAAGAGATGGAGGCCTAACGTCTGGCTTCTGGTTCTGGATCTCCCATTTATTCAGTATGTAACTGTGGGCAATTGGCTTCCGTTTTGTACCTGTAGAGCTCATTTCCTGTTGCAAACAGTGAAAGGGGGCCTGGTAATCTCTGAAGGCACTTCTCTGCCTAACCCATAGATACAGGTATATAGATACATGTACAGACCTATAGTTTGTGAGAGCAGGAGATGGTAAAGTAATTTACCCAGGGTCACTACATGTACTACTAACATGGAATTATGTTGTTCTACCTTGAAGTTCTTTTCCATTATAAAACTTCAAATTATGCAGCTTTACGTCTAATTGTCTGTTGGGTATAGATCAACCAACAGATCCAACAGACTATAGGGTTTATAAATTGTAGTCCTGGCCACGGAAGAAGAGAGCACTTAGCTCCAGTGGTCGGTGAGACCTAACAGCAGCTCCTGCCTGGTCTTAGCAGGTTAGGTGCTTCTGATAAAAGTTGTTAACAAGACGCCTACAGTCCCTTATACATTGGACACAGGTGAGAACGCTCTCTCTGACTTCTGCTGCACCCTGCACATCTTGATGCTGACAGCATCCGGCGGGTTTACAGGCACTCGGGCAGGGAGCAGCGCTGTGCATCAGCTGTGTCCCAGGCACATTCCCTTCCACATGCTCATCTGAGAGGAAAGTAGCTCTCTCGGATAGGTGACGGGATGCACTTGAGAAATGAAGAAACTGAGGCATGCATAAAGGTTAGCTGATTTTCCCAAAAGTGCTGTTTTTTGGACATTCCTTTATTATGCTTTCCCCCGCTCTGAGTGCTATATTAATTTACTTTGGTCTCCCTCACTAAATCCCAGGACAGAAACTCTGTCTAACTGTGTTGCATACCTAGCAACACATGGGCCTGGTCCATGGTGAGTGTCCTCAAAATACCTGTAGGGCTGAACTTCATTGCTTTAAAATACATGGGCATTTTTTTCTATTATATCATATTTCCTTTCATGTCATCTTAATGATGAGATTTAAGGAGAATCACACAGTGTCCTCTCCTCTTAGCAATTTACTATCTTCCAGTTGTACCTGGTCTGGAATTCTCCCCTCACCCCCTTGGCTTCTGCACATAGACAGGCAGGGTCCAGTGTCCCCAGAGGGTTGTCCACTCTCACCATACTCGTATCACACTGTATGTGCCTGATTGACATCTTGGAAAGTTAGAGTGTGGAAATAGAATTCTGTGGATGGAGAAGGGCAGGGCTGGGGGGTGGCCTGGGGCTGTCTGGTTAGGAAAGGGGGCATAAGTGGTCACCTGGGAGGAATAAGCCCATTTAAAGGGAGGTGGGGGATGGGCAGAACAAGATGCAGGAAAGATGTGCTTCACCTCTTTGACTGGAAGCAGCTGTATCAAGAAACCTAGTCATCAACCTGTTATTCCGAACATGGCTTTCTTTCCTAACCCTGTTGTGTCTTTTGTCAATCAACAGTGCATTTTCCATTTCGCTGCCCAATTTAGGTAAGTGACATTCACTTACTGCTGGCACCGACTACTCAGCGTCGGCACATTCAGGGGCAGGGAGAGAGGAGCCCTTGTCCTTCCCACATTCCACATGCAATGAAAAATCAATACATCCAGTCAATGAACCAATTGTACACAAAGTAGCAATGACTTTGGGGAAGACGAGTAACATTTCTTTTTTTTATTTTGAAGTTCTATCTATCTATCTATCTATCTATCTCTCTATCTATCTATCTATCATCTATCTATCTATCTATATATCTATCTATTTATAATTGTTGTTCAAGTACTGAGTAACGTTTCTTGAGTGCCTATACTATACCAGGCCTCTTAAACTCCCAGAAAAAATGATGTTCCTGAGTCTTTCAGGGAGGCACCAAGAGCCACCTCCGGACTTCAGGGATCTGGGACTTGTACCCAAGTCTCTTCGATTACGAAGCTCACACATTTGTACCACACCGCCTCTTGGGGGATTTGATAGCCATATCACCCTGATTAAGATGTGATAAGTTGAGCACAATTGCATGCAGTGCAGTACACACATTAATGAATCGAGGATGGGTCACTGCAGTGTTGTTTGCTTTGCTATAGACACAATAGTGCACAAGTTAGCTCAGAGCCTAACACATGGTGTGCTCTCAACACACGTCCAGGAAACTGAAGCCGTCAGTAAAAGAGGGTCACTTCTGCTGTTGTTTGTTGGTTTTCGTGGGCTCTAGCCGTGGTGGCTACTTCAGTTTCAGTCTAACTTGGCAATTCAAATACAGATTGTATTCCATAAATACGAGTTTGTTGGATGAGATAACAAATGGTTTTATGAGCCTGGCAAAACTACAAGCCTCCCCAAATATTCTGGATCTATGTTTTTCAAATAAAGCCAGCTTAGAATAGGCATGCATTGTACCCCATTCAAATTTATGAATAATTGAATGTTAACTATGAATAATTAGGCCAGAAGGTCTCAAACTCAGGTGGCGAATCACTTCAACATTATAAATTTCTATGCAGAGCACCAAGGAATGCGAATATCCCAAAATGAACATGTCTAGTTATAGTTAAGTATTAAGTCAGATTCAACTTAATACAAAATTATTATAAAGTAGCAGTTGCCAATAATTTCAAACAAAAATCATGGGGGGAAAATCAACATTAATATCCTGTTAAACTGTTTTCCCCCCTTAGGAATTAAGAAAAAAACCTTTTATTATTCTAGCAGTATAACATCTCTGTCCAGGTCTAGGAGGATGGAAACCTAGTTAAACTGACCCTTTTGGCAGCTCATAGTTCTGGAAATCAAATCGCTATAAACATGTATGTATGTGAGTGTGCGTGTGTGTGTGCTTGAGATATCAGGATGCTCCTCAGTTGAATTTCTTCCCAAATGAGAACCTTTTCCTTCTTTGATCCTTTCAGCCTATCTGTAGTCTACGATCAGATTTTGATAAAATAGGCTTTGGGAGACACCTGGACAATTAGGCAGTTGTGTGTGAGTTGAGAAACCAGGGATTGTATAAACCACCTACTAATGGACTATTTTGATCCCATCTTGACTCTAGAACTTAGGTCTCAGGAAGTTATCATCCATCATGATGTGAACATAAGTGAAAAAGAGTCAAAGTAAGTCAATTTACCTTTTTTTTACCCCTGTTATTTTATCCATTTCCTGGTGTTTTGTTAAATATTAGAGGGTCATCTTCCGATGCTTGGAGTCTGGACGGAAAGTCAGCTTGTTCTATCCCCCCACCAAGAAGGGAAAACAATAAAGAAACATAGATGATCTAACAGTGACAGGTGATTCAAAAGTCACTGGAGTTCTAAAATCTTTTTCTTATCTTCGAATTTGGAGACTTGAAACTTATTTCAATACAACAAACCCTGATTTAATACTCTCCTGTGGACAAGGCAACATGGAAGACAGCAAACACTCCCTGACAACACCTTTGTTCTCAGAGACTAAAGAGCTATAGTCTATCAAGTAGAAAAGCATCCCAGAACTTGATTGCCCCTCCCTAGCTACTTATCTGTCCTTTCCCTCTCCATTAAGTGGCTGAAAAAGGGCCTGCTCCTCTTCCCCAGCTCCCTGACTGTGAGCTTCTGTTCCTATCACACTAGTGAACTCGTTCTTTGTAAGGTCACTAATAACTTCTCTGTCAAGTCCAGTATGTGCTTTTAAGTGCTCAATTCTCTTGGCTTCACTATAAAGCTTACACTGTTGACAATGCCAACCTTAAAAAAACAACTGACTTTTCCCCAGGTTTCCATATTATCATTGTTGCTTATTTCTCATCTCTGGCTGTCACTCGTCCTGTTTGTTTTTTGTTGTGTGTGTGTATTGTGTGGGTTCTAATTCTACCATGCAACTCTCTCAAAATTATGCTTCTCAGATTTCCTATGTGAGTTCTCTTCTATTCTTCATGTGTTCTTAAATGCTCTCTTCCACATCTAAGGCTTTATTAGTAATCATTATGGCAATATCAAAATTTACATTTTGAGATTGGATTTCTCTTCTCCACTCCAATAAGCCTGCCAGCTAGCTCTCTTTGAAACTCGGAATTCCTAATAACTCGTAACCTCAACCCTTGTCATCCAAATATGGCCTCTTTCTTCTAACTTTTCCAGTGAGCACACTGTTGCTGAAACCCAAACCCTAGGCATAGTCCAAGCTGCCTCCTCTCCTGCCCGGCACCCTCTTCTGTTCCACTAACCCTCAGAACACTGCCGCTTCCCCATCCGCCCTGCACAGCCACCATGCAGGCCCTCCTTGTTTCTCAGCTGGATTGTCGCAGCAACCTTCTGAATGCATCTCCCCACTGCTTCAGTTTATTTCTCAGACTTTCTCAAGTGCAAATGTGATCATGTCACAAAACCAATCCTCCCCAGCTTAAAAATATTTAGTGGTTGCCAGTCTCTCTCAGAATGAAATCCAAACTGTTTAGGAAGACATAAAATTCATCAGCGATCCAGCCCCTGACAAAGTCTCGGCCTCACCTGTACTTCCCACCCATGCACCACTCCAGTGTTTCGGCCCTACTTTACTACTAGGAGTTCCTGGAACTCAACAAGCTATCCAGCATTTCTAAAGCTTCACGTTTGTGCCAACGTCACCGATTCATTCCACAAATATTTAATGAGCATGCGCTATGTCCCAGGCACTCTGCTAGATGTGGATACACAGCAGTGAAAACAGATAGGACTTCTATTCCTGTCTGATTGGAGACAAATAAGTTAATAAAAAATAAATCCATAATTTCACATTGGAACGTGGTTGTTTGGATACTTTGAAAGAGAGTGGACATAAGGCGTTTGTGTTGGGAGAGGGCCAACAGTCATTTCAGAGTCGATAGTTGAGGAGGCCCTTACCGGGAGGTGAGAATTTAAGGAAAATAGACTGGTTCTACCTGTAACACTTTGCCATGGTTTTTGCCTGGTTAGCTATTTTATATCTCATTCTTTACAACTGAATTCAGATTTTACTTTCCCCAGGAAGTGCTCTCTGACCTTATATACTTGGGTTAGATACCCCTTTCTTATCAGAACACTTTTCTCATAGTCATAGTGATCTTCTTTCTTTTCTCCTCCTTTAAATGGAAACTCGCCAAGGTAGGGACTGTATCATGTGACCTTATACCAAAACATAGTTAGTTAATTCAGTTAACAAGGGACCTAAAAAATGAGCAAAGTAATCTGGGAGCTAGGACAAAGGAGCCATTTCCATTGCTTAGGGGGTGAAGGAAGTTTTTGTGCCAAGCTGAAACAGGAAGGTTAGGTAACAATTTTGACAAACAGGAGACAACTGTGTAAACAGAAAACAGGTGTTTGGGAAAGCTCATTGCTTCTGATAAACAGAAATTCTGAATTTTAATGTATTTGAATTTGTCGATTTATTCTTTATGATTGTTGCTTTATCTTTTAAAGAACTCCTTATCCCAAGATCACGTGCTGTTCTGCCATAGTTTCTTCTAAAACTGTTAGTTTCGTGTTTTATACTTAAACCTTAGATCTATCTGGAATGACTTTTCCTCTGCATAGGGAAGTAGAGACCTGACTAAATGTTCTTCCACGTGAATAAATGCCCTAGCATGATTAAGTGGTCCCTATTTCCCCCACCAATCTGCAGTGCCACCTGGGTCATACCCATTCCCAGAATCTGAAGATTTCCATGCTGTCTATTCCAGTCCAGTGTCGTTTCCAGCTGAAGTGCATTGTGGTCTGGGAAAATAGTTTTTATTAGTACCTTGACAATACTATTAACAAAAATACTTATATAGCTCTTACTACATGTCAGTCACTGTTTTGTGTGTTTAATATGTATTAACTCATTCAATCTCACAACAATCCTGTGAGGTAAATACTGTTATGACACAGACTGTATAGAAGAGAGATTGAAGCACAGAGGTTAAGTTATGTGCTGAAGCTCACGCAGCTGGTGTTGGACCAAGGATTCAAACCCACGTGTTGGATGCTCAGTCCTTCCTCTTACCTCCTATACACCGTGCTCTGTATCCTGCTGATTCTCATTGTCTTACAGTGTAATTTTCCTGATACTGTATACCTACTGATCTTTTAGTTACTATTTCCCTAGTATACATTTTTAATCCTTTAATTTTCTGTTTCTCATGTTTGCATTCTCTTTCTCTCTCTCTCTAATATAAAAAGCATAGAGCTGAATTTGGCTTTTTAAAACTCCAGCATAGCAATTTCTTATCTCCTACCTTGTCCTTGACCTAATGTCAATCTTGTGCAATACTGTGGTGCTGATACGAACATTTTCCTCAGTACACACCTGTCTTGCGCTTGCAGACTGCTGAGTGCACTGCCTGGTTTCACCTGATTTGGTGAGGACTGTTAGGGCTATACCATGAGGACTATACCATGCATAGTACTTACTCTATGTGTAAAGTGTAGCAATTTGTTAAGATAAAAACGAGACCAAAAACTTTCACCCATGATCTAGTAGTTTTGAATTTGGAGGGCCCTTTCAGAATATTCTTCTGCCCTCTACTGCCGAAGGAAAAAGTACAGAACTCTGAGCAAGGGTACAATGTAATCAGAGCTCCACTGCCCGAAGAGTAATCCTACCCTCTCACAGAATGAAGAAAGTCGGAAGTGGAACATATGTTGGACTATCATTACAATCTCTCAGGTGAAAGATGATCGAAATGCGTTCTAGGCTGGTAAAAGAAATGAAGGCAAAGTTATTCCAGAGAACTTAAATGGATGCTACTGAATTGTGAATTCCTCGGGAGAAACCGTATCTTCTTTATCCCCATTATCCGGCTCCTGATGCAGCACTTGAGATGTGGTGGGCACGTGAGGAATGTTTCCTGGACAAATGATGTTTATCAAATCACTCAGCCTGTCAGAGTCTGACTGATTTTCATGTGAGAGAGTAAACCTTCGGTTTGGCTTCAAGTACACCAACTATTAATGGCATTTGTAGCAGATAGAACATTGACGGGAAGTAACAATTTGGAAGGAGAAGAGAGAGGGAAGATGGCATTTGAGTTCCTATAAGCCTGGCTAGTGTGCGCATCATGTCTGGGTGGATATTGGACTGAAGAGTAGCCCAACCTGCTCTGGACTGAGTTGTGGCTAGATAATCCAGACCTCTGTCTTATGTTTCATTTCCTCCTGTTCGTTAGACTATCCCCGGTGAGTCAGCAAGAGAAGGAAGAGGGGGATCTTGAAAAGGACACTGGAACAGCTTCTACAGCCTGGCACCAGTGGGACCTATAGCACATCACCTCACTTATCTGAACCTCAGTTTCTTAACCTGCATGATGGCAACAATCCGAAGCCTGCCAAGTTCATTAAGGCCTCTAGGTCCCTAGAAAGCAAAAATAAGTTGGCAAAGAGGCAAAAACTCGACCATAATATTCACATGGTCAGCATGGGTATGAATTGGTAAGATACAATCTTTCTGAAAGAATAATTTGGCAATGCATATCTAAAATGTGCAAATCCTTAATGCAGTAATTTTACCTCAAACAAACTAACTCTAGTAAAAAAATTAAAATAAAGGAAACATGAAAAAATTGTGTGCAGAAATATCTGCCTCAAGGTTATTTATAAAAAAATGAGATATTTAAAACTACCCACATTTCCAATAATTTGATAAGAATATTATAGTATACTACTCAGCAGAAGCATGAAGATATATGCTAAATACATCCTAAGTAGTTTTCAGTAACATAGAGAAATGCTTGCAGAAATACCAGAATGAAAACTCGTAGGTATAATATGATCTCAATCCCATTTTAAGAGGCTTGGGAATATTTAGGAGACTCAGATGTCCTGGAGAGCTCAGATCATGCTTACTTTGTTTTCTACTTCTGCTTCCAGTTTTTAGATACTCAGAATGTGCTGCTCTCAAATCAGTAAAGAAAATAAGCTTTTAAGTAGGCATCCGCCTTGCCCATTCTCAGCCCTCACAGCTGCACTGCTTCCAGTCAAGTCCAGGGACAAGTTCACACCGCACACTCACTGTGTGCCCAGCACAGAGCAGAGCCCATTGGATGCACTGGAGTATGTGGTTGGCTCCCATCTTCTGGGAACCTACAGTGGGGAGAGGAAATGAGTGGCCAGTGGACAGTTAGCAAACCAGTCACTGCTGAGCCCCATGTTATAGGCTCCCAAGGCAACAGACGTAAAAAAAGACAGAGAGACTGCAAATCCTTCGACAAGCCCTGGAAGGCTTCTTGAAAGACTTCCCTAGGCTGCATCTTCCATGCTGGTCAAACGCTGTGTTCCTGACGTACCATTGGGCGGTTGTGGTCATAATCTGGAGGGAATGGTAACACACCATCTCTGAAAATCTCAAAAATCCCTGTGACATAATATCCTGTGGTTCTAATTTACCCGATGAAGAGTTCAGACATGCAGACACTGGGGACAAACAGATGCTCTATGGAGTAGGGTCCTGTTTTGCTCATATTGATGATGGACCGAAACAACAAACAAACAAAAAAACCCTTTGGAGCAGCAGGTATGGTAAAAGACCACAGTCTTCAGGGTCAAAGGCACCTGGAGGTTCAAAGCCACTGTCTCTGTGACCATGATGGTTCTCTGCTTATCTATTTCCCTCTTTGTAAAACTGTATGAATGACCACTTTAAAGGATACTGTGAAAAATCAGGTAACATATGTAAGAGCATACAACTTGCCACATAGGGGCTCAAAAAGTATTAGTTCTTTCTAATACCTTCACCCCTCCATGAATCCTTTCCTACTAATGCCAAACACTAGTTGGATTAGTTTTTTTCCTGGTGGAGGTTAGTATTATTATTCAGATTCTAGAGGCAAAGAAACTGAGGCTCAGAAAGGAGAGGAAGTGGGATGATAAGCGGGCTGATCTCTTGCTTCTGGTTTCAAACTCAGATCCTCACGGATCGGGGTCAGCCATCTATGGTCTGTGGGCGAAACATAGCAGCCACTTCTCTTTGTAAACACAGTCACGGGAGCAGAGTTCAGTGGTCACCACAGGGATGTTATGCCTTCCGGAGCCTAAAGTATTTACTCTCTGGCCTTGTCATAGATTATCAAAATATACTTCTAGATGACTTTTATTTATTTATTTATTTATTTATTTATTTATTTATTTATGTATTTATTTAGCAAAACATAATTGCCCAGGGAGTACCGATGGTTTTCACAACTGGTTTAGTTCAATCTTAATTTACTGGATCAAAACTACTTTTCTCCTCAGAGATGAAGATAAAGTAAAAATTTGGAAGCCCAAGCTTTTTAAACCAAAGGGGAAAAAAGGCGCTGAAGAGTCAGAACGGTGAGTACACAGGGGAACCTACATTACCGCGCACTGGCTGCGTCAACTGAGGCAAGTCAGGAAGTCTGATTTCCAGGTTCTTCATCTACAAAATGAAAATATTCGCATCTCAACTATAGTACAGCTGAGAGGACTAGGAGAGACACAGAATATGAAAGTACAAAGAACCACACACATTTGTCTTCATCATCATCATCCCTGCTTTTGGTGAACAGGGAGTAAGGAAAGATTTCATACCAGCCCTAGTCAGACAATGAAACATTTTCAGTCTTCTTTCAGGTTCAGAGAACTTCCCCTCCATAAGACAAATCTTAAACAATGCACCAATCTGAACTTAAATAAACTAGGTGTCATACAGTAAGACTGATTTCCCTAAAATACAATATAATTTTATTTATGTCTATGTTAGTGTTAGAATTTCAAAACAGTGTTTCGTCAATTCAAAATCTAACCTTCATTCCTGTGGTTCAAGCTCCCGGCTGGCTGTCAGGGAGGTGATTTTTTGCTGTCTCCGATGTTTCTTGGTGCTCAGCGCTCCAGTCTTCCCCTCATTCGCTAGGAGGTGGGGCAGATCTGAGGTTTACCCAGTGTCTTCGGGAAATCCTCGTCTAAAAAAGTCATTAGGATGGGAATACTGCGTGGCTTCCCTGCTTTGGGAAACCTGTCTAGGAAGGTCCTGCAGGGCCACCCCCAAAGAAATAAGACATCAGTTTATACAAAATTTAAATGCAGAGATGGCATACAATGACCCTTCCTTTAAGTTTACTTTCTTTCGGTTTAGACTTGATGTAATTTATTTTTTCCAAATTGGAAAGATGTATTCACAGACCAGAAAGCACTTCCCACCTTGAACTTCACACCTTTGCATAACAGAGCACAGCAGAATTCCAAGAGAGGAAATAATAGAAATTTTTACTGCCCACCCTCCACCCCTCAAAAAAGGCTTTTTAGTATTTTAATGTCTATACACGTCTTTTTAGAAAAGAATTTTCTGGCGCTTTTTTAATTCTTGTGACAAACTGATCCTTTACTTTTATTCTCAACTGGGTAAATTTGAAAATGTGTTAAATTTTAAAATGCAGATTGAAGGTATCATTACACCTAAATTGACATCTCAGTTTTCAAGTACTCTTGATTCCTTTCTGAATGGTCTCTATTGAAACATATTCTACCAATAAGAAACGCTTTTGATATTAGTACAATCCTGTCATTATCCCTTTATTAATCAAAGATGATGTTTTCAGAGAAGCTGGGGAAGGACATGGCAGGTGTAAACTCACAGGTATGATAGCCCACCTCGTAAGGCATTCCCACCATGGGAATATGACTCTCCTGTAGGCAGTAGAGAGAGATTAGAAGGTTTTAAGTGAGAGAGTGACATGTCAGTTAAATTTTAGGAGGATGACTGGAGGCAGGTGTACAGGTGCATACACAGAAGGAAAGACAGGAGGAAGGTGATATTTCCGGTGTAAAGCGGTCGTGGCCTAAAGCATGGCAGAGACTGTAATCTCGGACGGAACAAAGAAGATAGAGGTGGTTAGACTTCTGAGTAAATTTCTCCAGACTTGCTTGGCCTGTTCCCCTCCATCAACACCTAAAAATACTATGGTGGAGCACCAACCCCCATGTGTAGAGTGGAAGGAGAAGGCAGAAAGAGCCCGTAATCAGCCTCTGCTGTATGGTTATGCACCTTCATGTCCCAAAGTCTTTGCATGTATTTTGTGGCATCTTGCACTTTTATTATTTTTTTTAAGATTTTATTTATTTTTAGAGGGGAAGGGAGGGAGAGAGGGAAATCACTGTGTGGTTGCTTCTTGAACGCCCCCTACTGGGGACCCAGACCACAACCCAGGCAGGTGCCCTACACTGGGAATTGAACTGGCAGCCCTCTGGTTTGCAGGCTGGCACTCAGTCCACTGAGCCACAACAGCCAGGGGCTATTTTCTTAATTCTATTGTCTTCATAATCATTCAGCAACCTGGAAAGTTCTTTGATGTACAGAGATTTTTGATTCTCCAATTAGGTTTGAAAAATTGGAAAACCGTGAGATGTAAGCTATTTACTCACTGTTTTTTATTAAGTAATCTGAGGGTGAGTGGGACAATTGATAACTTTCCTTACATCTGTTCTTTCTTAAATTTATACTTGTAAATCTGATTCAGAGAAGTTTCTTAACTTAATTTGTTCAACCAATTAAAGATGTTAGTTCAAGTTATCTTGCTGTCAAAAAAAAAAGGTTTTTAATTGTATGGGGAAAGAACTGGTATTACTCTGTTCAGTGGTTTTGACAATCTGCTCTGATGGAAATGTAATACAATGTACATAAAATTACACACACACACAAATTATACCTAAGCATATCCTGAAGTAGGATGACTAAGATTTGGAAACTTGAGTTTTATTTAACCCAACCTGCATTTTTCTTGCCAGTCTATCACCTGGAAATTTCTTCAGAACCAAGCAACAAAACTTAGAAAAGGACAGAACAGAGAGAGAAAAACTTTTTAGAGAAAGATTTGAGGTATGTTCTCCTCTGAAGGTAAGAATCAATATTGAAGGCTGAAATGTCTGTCTCTAAAGATCCTGTGTGTTACAGTTCTGCCCTTCTGGGATTAAGGCATGAATATCTTTATTGTGTTCTGGTGCATTTCTGTGTGATCACGCCTTTGTATATGCAACTTCCTCTGCCTGGAGAAATTCCTAAACTGCTCCGCTCAGATGCCACCTCCTCCTCCCCAACTCCTCTCCTCCAGGAAGAGTTATTCCCTCAGCACACTCATTCCTACTACTTTACATGTGTGTCATAGCTAAATATAAGTATAAACCCATCCAAGAAAAAAGTGGAGAGTGCCACCTAGAAACACTTGTAAGAATGTTATAAGCTCTAAGAGGGTTTTCTCTCCCTGCCCCCTTTTAAAATCTGCACCCCTTTTCCTGGTTTGGTGGTAACTTTATTACTACCAGAGTTAACATTACTACCCACAGAAGTTCATGTAAACCTGTGTTACAGCCCTCTCATTCACCAGAATTCACTCTTGTACAATGAGGTAATGGATTGAACATATATACAGTCATACCAAGTAAATACAGAATTGTAGCATTCAACCATTATTTCCTGAAATTCTTTCATTGAATGTCTTGCTAGTATTTTCTACTCCTTTAGATATTTAACTAATATCTAGCATCTTGAGTTTGTTCCTTTCTTAATTTTATTATAAGGAAAAGATAAAAACCCCGCAAGCATATCTGATCAGTAATGTCTCGTTTCAGTATGACAAAGAGATCACTGTCATCAACACAGCAGTGGCCTGTTCCTGGAATTCAAGAAAGGGAACATTTGATTTGCCCATAACCCCTGGAGAAGAACTGGAAGTCATTGATATCGCTGAAGAAAATCTGGTGATATGTCGCAATTCTAAAGGCAAATGTAAGTTATTGGCTTATTGCCCCTAAAATGTCATTGTTTAAAAAAAAACCCTCAAAGCATTATCTAACTTTCAATCATTTTTGTTTCTATAGATGGACATGTGCTAATTGAACATCTAAATTTCAAGTAAGTGGTTTGATTTTTATATTTGAAATAGTGAATTCTAAATATTTGAGTGAATTTAAAGGAAATACTACTGCATTTATTTACATTCAGAAAAAAATGGAAAATTAGACACACAATGCCCCATTCTGTGTTACTTTGGAAGAGGCTTTACTATTCTGTCTCCTGAGTGTGTTAGCGAACTCCTCTACAGAGCATATTTACAAACAGACATTTTAAAGGCCCATAAAAATATTAAACTGGGTAAGAAATCCCCTAGAAATCTCCTGCTCACTACACAACTGGTTTATATTTCAAAATACACTTTTTATTTTTCCTCAGGCATCAAGGCTGGTCGCCTTAGGAAGAGTGACATCAAATGTATGGACGCACAAGTGAGAACCAGTGCTAAGTAAGACACGAGTCCTGCTCACACCACTTCCAGTTTACGTTGTCAAAATGAGATGGTGGAAACTTCCGTTAGGACCTTAGGAGAGAAAACAAACCCTCCACATTCAGTTCATTTTGCTCCTAAAAGGTTATCTTTCCGTGTGTATTTTAAGAATCTATTTCACTGGCTGGCTCAGAATGTGAAACTGTGTGTGCCAGCATTTGGGCACTTCTCAATGAGCCGCATCCACGGTAGGGAATCACGCCTGCCAGCACTACCCAGTGAGCTGTACAGATGGTGAGCACGATTCTCGTCTCAGCCCATGAGTGTTTAGAATTTCTAAAAGATGCTGTCCATTTAAATTGGGTGTAATTCTGGAAAAATAGCATAACCAAGTTCTTTTAAATACTCGAAGTGTAATCTTGAAATACAGTTCAGTCTTTAAAAAATCAAGATCTAAGTGTTCCGCTTTATCACAAAACCAAAGTTGGACCCAAAATGTGGCTCAGAATTGGTTTCTTTTGGGAACCATATACTGGAAAGTAATTTATTCATAAATTCACCCAACATCAAATTATGCTGTATTGGTTTAAAATAGCTTGTTGTCCAAATAGTGATACTTACTGTCTATTCAAATAACAGAATTCACATATATTTTTACTTATATAAAAGTAAAGAAAATTAAGCTGAGCTGTTAACATTCTGTATTTCAAATGATGTACACTGCCTCTTAAGAAGGGAGATTCTGGCCTTTGGGGTGTGAATTTACTCCATGGTCTTATTCTTTATACTATGAGATTATTTCTTAAGATTCTAGTTTCTTTCTTTTTCAAGTTCCAAGTGGCATTTGCCAAAAAAGGCCAACCTCATTCTAGAAGACAAGAACTAAATGTATTACAGAGTTCAGAGAGGGAAATAGATATGAATGAAATGCCTAGAAGATTAAGGTTTCACAGAGAAGGTGGCGTTGAAGCCTGGTCTAATCACAGCACATTTGCCAGACAAGGCACAGAAATGGCAAGTCCACGCCGTCTGGCAACTGGGAAGAAACCGAAGGGAAATGGACTGTGCTGTGTCTGGTGGGAAAGGACAAGAGGTGGGATGGGGTAAGTTGGAGGTAGAATGTGACAGAGTTCTTATCAAAGGTCTTCTTCAGGAAGGTGATGCCAGATGTCTAGGCAGAAAAGAAAAAACAATCACAGCAATATGGGTGGTAGCTTAGAGAGGAGAGGCTAGTTGTTTTTGCAGTATTCTAGGCAAAAGAGCATCTGACCACAAGACAGCAGCAATACAAACATACAGGACAGGAGCCCCATTAGTTACAAAGGTAAGGAAACAGATGTCATGATGACTTATTAGACGTGAGAGAAAGAATGAGGGAATGACTCCAAGATTTCTTTTTTGGGAGCTGAGATTAAGGTACCAAAATTGGGAATATATTTCTATTTGGATCCCCCTGGATTAAATGACCTACTCAGTGAGAGGCAGGGCATTCGGGTAACTGCAGCCCCTCCCGCACCATGCTCAGACCTGCCCCGTGGGCACTATGGCAGAAGGGCAGGACAGGCATGGCCTATGGGCAAGGAAGGAGGTGAAGAGCAGAGCCCTGTCGTGGAATAACCCTGTAAAAAAGAGAATCCTACACCACGGTACTCTTGCCACCTGGCCAAAACATGAAGAATTTTAAACCCTCCAGTGGCAATGGGACTAACTTTCCCGAGATGGGTCTGTCCCACACACTTTCCATCTCATCACTTGGCCTCTTGTTCTAACTCCCCGACTTGGCTGTGTCTCTGCTTTCTCCTCGGTGACACAGGGCTAAGAACACTCCCCTTGTCTGCTGCACAGGGCCGCTGTCTGGCTGAAATGCAGTAACATAAATCAATGTGTCCTGAAAGTGTGCAAGTGCTGCTGTTTTATAAAAGAGTTTGTTTACTTATTTTTAGAGGGGAAGGGAAGGAGAGAGGGAGAGAAACATCAACGTGTGGTTGCTTCTTGTGCACCCCCTACTGGGGACCTGGCCTGCAACCCAGGCATGTGCCCTGACTGGGAATCGAACTGGTGACCCTTTGCTTCGCAGTCCCATGCTCAATCCACTGAGCCACACCAGCCAGGGCCAAGTGTTGCTATTTTAGTACCTGGCCTTTTCTGAAGTTGGAAGATGTTAAAAACAAAAATGTTTTGCAATTCAAATTTTAAGACTTAGAAAAAAGTGGCTGGGATGGAATAATTTTACATAGATGTATTTCATAGGACTTTAAAACTAAACATTTTTCTATGTTTTTAAAGTATAAGCCGTTTGATTCCATATAAACTGGTACCCAGTCACTATTTGTTGATATGAACTATATTTTTAGAAAAAATAACTGCTTTTATCCATACTCAATGTAACTGTCTCTATTTCACTGTCAGCCCCACTTCTTCCACGCTTTACAGCAGGGCTGTCAAACTCATTTTCACCGGGGGCCACATCAGCCTCACGGTTGCCTTCAAAGGGCTGAAATAATTCTAGGACTGTAGAAATGTAACTACTCCTCAATAACTGTTAAGGGGTTAAAATTGCATTTGGCTCATTTTCACTAATAAATACAAATTCCTTCTTCTAAGTTTGGAACAGCAAATTAAAATGTTGACTTATATAGTTGGACCTCTCGATGTGTTGTTAACAAGAACTAAAGCACAATGTTTTTTCGAAAAGATGCTTTCAGGTGTGTAAACATGGCCGGTACCACCATCAGCAGCACATGGGGTCGCATCTGCATCGCTTGTTCTCTGTTTCCAGTGGCTGTCAGTATAAAAGTCTGCTGTTCCCTGTGATCTTCCAGGCCTTTCCCTGCCTGTTCTATGGCTGTGGTCGAACAAGTTTTGGCCTTCACGGTCTCCATGCCCTGGCACTGCACCTGTAAATATGTGTTGTGCCTTTATAGATAATATTAAGGTGCTAACCAGGTGAGGACTATTTGACTACATAGGTCTTAAAATCAGAAGTCAACCAGCCAGCTATGCAGCGGAAGAAGAGGCAGGAGATATTTGAACCATGAGCCTCCTGTGGCTGGCTTTGATGATGTGATGATGAAGGGAGTCATGGTCCAGATAATGGTAATGGCCTCTCAAACCTGCGAATGACCCCTAGTCAAGAGCTAGAAAGGAAGCGGACCTCAGTCCCACAGCAGTGTGAAATTCTGCCATCAGCCTGAATGAGACTTGAAAGATTCTCCCCCAGACCTGAGCCCTGCAAACACTGATTTGCAGCCTTGCATGACTGGAAGCAGAAACACCAGCTAAGCCCACTGAATTTCTGAGTTACAGAACTATGAGATAAAGTTGTGTTTGGGGAGTGAATCAGCATCATGGCAGAGTGAAACAACCCCTTTGGTATATCTCCTTAAATCAACAATTAGGACATTTATAACCCAATACATTTTCCTCTGCTCAGCACCCTGGGACACCTGAAAGAGTCACACATCAGCACATCTGAAAGTGGGTGTACTGGCATGCATCGCAGAGGCAGAAGGTGGGGACTCTCTAAATGCCAGGGTGGAGCCCGCATCCCCAGCCAATGCTGTGGTGCAGGACTTGGGCTGTGGCCCCTGCACCACAGCCTGGCAGGAGGTATAGGCCAGCGTCAGCACCTGAGAACCTGGCTCCCTCGCATGGATTGTGGTCCTTCTGCCAGCAGAGCCTGTGGCAGCAGTGGAGACAGGCCTCCTAGCCACAGCACCAGCTGTCACAGGAAACCAGGTAATAGCACAACACTCACAAATCTGGTCACCCCCACACCTGCCACCTCTCCCTGCCATGGTGGTGGTAACCCAAGGCCCAGGCAATGCAGACACAGGGGCACCCACAACCCTCATCACCCAGGCGGTAGTGATGTCCTCCCGCGCCCCCCCCCACCACAAAGATGCCAACAGCATGGGGCACCAGAGATGAGGAAGACACAGCAGCGTGCGTGGAAGGGAGAGCCGAAACCCATCTTGTGGCATCTTCTACTGGCAAACAAAAAACCTCTCATTATCAACCTGCTGAACTGTTAAACTCAACATAGTACATAAACACGGAGCACGTTCATTACTTTAAATGCTCCAGAAGAGGAACAACACATTAAATACCATGAATAACCAAAGTAGCACTGTATTACCAAAAGAAAACTACAATCCCCTAGAAACCAAATTCAAAGTGATGGAAGACTGTGATGTAAATGACAGAGATTTCAAAACAGCAGTCATAAAGAAACTCAACATGATACAAAAACCTCAGAAAGAGGGGACCCAGCAATTCCACCTCTGGGAATATATCCTAAGAATCCCAAAACACTAATTCAAAAGAATATATGCATCCCTGTGTTCACTGCAGCATTATTCACAATAGCCAAGATATGGAAACAGTCCGAGTGACCATCAGTAGATGAGTGTATAAAAAAGCCATGGTACATTTACGTAATGCTAGACAGCTGTAAAAAAGAAGGAAATCTTACAATTTGCAACAGCATGGATGGACCTGGAGAGCATTATGTTAAGGGAAATAAGCCAGTCAGAGAAAGACAAATAGCATACCTTCTCACTTATATGTGGAATCTAATGAACAAAGTAAACTACTAATAAACAAAATAGGAACAGAAGCACGGACCCATGGAACAGACTGACAGCTGTCAGAGCAGGGTCGGGGGGAGGGGACTGGGTGAAGGTGAAGGGATTAGCCAAAGACCACATACGCATGGCCCACAGACACAGACAACAGTGTGGTGACGGCCAGAGGGAAGTGGGGGCAGAGGCTGGGTGGGGGTGGGCGAACAGGGAGGCGGTAGGGACATCTGTGATAGTGTCAACAGTAAAAAAAAAAAATAAAATGAATGAACAGGAGTACTTTACCTAAGAGATTGAAACTCTAAAAAAAACAAAACAAAAAACAAAAAAACAAATTCTGGGGCTGAGGAACTTAGTAGATGAGATGAAGAATGCATGAGAAAGAACTGGAAATGCAGCAGACAAGTCATAAAGTAGAGAGAATTAGCGAGCTCAAAGACAGAAATCCGGAAGTGATTCAGATTGATGAGGGGACAAGACTGAGATTTTTAACGTGAAGAACTCTATGAGAACGATCTAACTCCAGCAGAAAGGGCAATGCGAGGACAAGGGCATCCCAGGAGCAGAACAGAGGGAGAAGTACACGAAACTAACACAACACCTGATGACCTCAGTGCAAAGAGACCTCCTTCAAGACACGTTATATTAACACCCCAAAGTTAATGACAAAGATTCTTTAAGGTTGCTGGGAGGTGGGGATGGGTGGGGAGGGAATAGTAACCTACAAAAGAAACCCCATCAAATTATCAGATACCTCACCAGAAACCCTACAGGACAGGAGGGAGAGGAATATGAGACAAAATCACCAGCCAAAAACACTCTAACAGTAAGAAGCTCTTCAACCTAAAAGAAAAACACACAAAATTTTGAGTAAGGTGTCTAACAGAAGCAAAATCATAACTTTCCTTCAGTATAGAATGTTAAACACTTACATATAACGAAGGAAAAAAAGCATTAAAAACTTCAGCTACTTCATTTTTCACATACAGTAGATTCCATCCCTTCACTGTAATTTTCTGAGTTGTCCTACGTGCAAGTGCGTGATTTTAATGCTGTCTGTCTTCTGTGCTGTTCCTGTAAGTCTGCCATTAAAAATACAATGAACTATAAAAAATGTTGAGCGACTTCAGTTGGGTAATGAACATAAATAAAGGGATAATCGGTGACAACAAAAACAAACAGGAGGCAGAGAGAATGAACTTGCTTAGGCAACTGAAGATGCTATGAGAATAAAAAAGGCTATTTTATCTGTGAGACACTTTATACAAGCCCTATGGTAAACACCAAACAAAAATCTGAGAGCTCAGATATGAACATAAAAAGAGGAAATGAAGAAAAACATCATAGAACAGCCACCAAACTAAAATATCCGACGTAAACACAAGGGGAAAGAAACAATGGACATACGGACCAATCAGAAATCAAAAGATAAAATGGCAGTAGTAAGTCTACATGTATCAATAATCACACTGAATGTAAATGGGCTGAACTCATCAATCAAAAGGCACAGAATAGATGAATGGAATAAAAAACAAGACCCGACTACATGATCCTTCTCAGAGGAGACCCACCTCAACTCCAAAGACACACAGACTCAAAGTGAAGGGGCGGCAGGTGGCAGCTCAGGAAAATGGCATCCAGAATAAAGCAGCTGTGGCCACACCCACACTGGATCTGCTACCTCTATACAGAAACATGAAGTATCAGAAAGGGAAAGGCACAAAGCAATCCCACTTACAATGACACAGAAAAGAATAAATACCCAGGAAAAACCCTAACAAAGGAGCTGAAAGACCTGCACACGGAAAACTACAAGATGTTGTTGAAATAAACGGAAGATACAAAGAAAAGATATTCCATATCCATGGATTACAAGCTGTTAAAATGTCTATTTTACCTGAAGCAATATACTGCACTTTACTGCAGTCCCTCTCAAACTTTCAGTGGAATTTTTCAAAGAAACAGAACAAAAAATTCCTAAAATTTGTGCAGCACCACAAAAGACCCCAAGGAGACAAAAGTCCTAAGAAAAATGAACAAATCTGGAGGTATCACAGGCCCCAATTTCGAACTATACTACAAAGCTATATTGATCAAACAGCATGGTATTAGCAGAAAACCAGATACACAAACCGATGGAATACTACTGTGAGCTCTGATAAAAAACCCACACATATATGGACAACTAGTTTATGACAAAGCAAAAATATATGAAAGAGGGAAAAAAAGACTCTTCAATAAATGGTTTGGGAAAACTGGACAGTTAAATGCAAAAATAAAATTAGACCACTATCTTATATCAGACACAAATATTAACTCAAAATTCATCAGACACTTGAATGTAAGACCTGAAACAATAAAGTACATAAAATAAAGCATAGGCAGTAAGCTTGGGACATTGGTGTTAGTGGTGTTTTTGCGAATCTGACTCACAAGGAGAACAAAAACAGTAAATAAACAGGAATAACTAAACAGGACTACATCAAACTAAAAGCCTTCTGCACATCAAAGGAAACCATCAGCAAAACAAAAAGGCAACCGCTTGAATGGGAGAAGGTATTTGCAAATAGTATTTCCAACATGGAGTTAATATCCAAAATATATAAAGATCTCATACAACTTAACAACAGCACAGAAGAATAATCCAGTTAAAAAAATGAGCAGAGAATCTGAATTGATGTTTTTCCAAGGAAGACATAACAATGACCAATGGGCACATGAAAAGATGTTCAACATCACTTATCTTTAGGGAAATGCAACTCAAAACCAAAATGAGATATTAACTTCACACCCGTTAGAATGGCTGTCACCAAGAAGTCAAGGACAACTGTCAGAGAGGCTGTGGAGAAAACGGAACCCTTGTGCACTGTTGGTAGGAATGCAGATGCTGGAACCACAACACCAAAAACAACATGGAGATTCCTCAAAAAGTTAAGAAAACTACCATATGATCCACCAACTTGTCCTATGGGTATTTATCCAAAGACTATGAAGACACCAATTAGAAAAGATACATATACCCTTATGTTCCCCGCAGCAATTACTTACAACAACCAAGACATGCAAACACCCCACGTGTCCATCAATGGATGAATGGACAAACACACACTAGAATACCACTCAGCCATGAAATAGAGAAGATATTGCCACAATATGGATGGATCTTGAGGGTACTATGCTAAATGAAATTAGACAGAAAGGGACAAAACTGTATGATTTCACTTGTGTGCAATTTAAAATAAAGAATATATAAAACAAAAGATAAACCAAGAAAACAAATAACACGGAGATACAGACAACAAACTGATGGTCACTGGGGAGAGTGGGGTGGGGTGAGGGCACATGGAAGGACGTTCAATGTCACATCACAGAAAGAGCGTCAAATATCCAGTAACAGCTGGGCACTAGACTTTTGCTGATGAGCACACTCTAGTTAGTGTAACGGAAACTGAATTACAATGTACATCTGAAAGTCACATTATTAACCCATGTTACCTCAACAGTAAAAAAAAAAAAATGTGTTAAGTCACTAAGTCTGCAGAAATTTGTTATGGCAGCAATAGAAAACTAATACAGTGGCTAAGTCAGAAACCACAATGTACAACACAGAAGATTAAGATAGTAGGAAATCTCCAAGGAGTCATGGGCAATCTTTCTCCCTAACAGCTTTCTCTGTAACTATTAACTGCTATGCAGAATAATTAGCTTAATAATTGAACAGAAACAAAAACAACTTCCAAATTAACGAGAGAGTTTAATTTGATTTTGTGAAAAAAGCTGATATACAATCGGATATGCTTCCTTTCTCTTTTGTGTTTGTAACCTATGAGTTGGCACAGCACAGATATTAACTAGGGTGAACGTGTAACTCTGAAATGCTGTGTAATTCAAGGTTACCACACAGTTACTAGAAGACACATCCTTTCCACTGGTCATTAAACACAGAAAAATTCATAGCAAACAAAACTGCAATTTGAATCTATGGTTATTAAAATACAAAAACACTGGGAGTCTGCTTCTTTTTTTTTTCCTGACACAAATTACAAAAAGTGATCCCAAGTTCAACAGCCAAAAATATTTTAAAAAATAATAAATATGTAATCAAATGCTTCAATATTTTAATGTATTAGCCTATGGAATTTTTCTTTCTTTTTCAAAGATGGGCTAAGAAAAAAAGACTGCTGGATGTTCTTGGGAAAAATGGAATCATTAATATTCAATCTTACATTTTTTATGATTATCATGGATATAACCTAATGGCTGTCAATCTTAAGTTTCATTTGTTGCACTCAAAATTCACTGTATGATATTTAAGTATACATGATAACACAAGCATTCTTCCTAAAACAATATTAAGTTTACTATACTTTAAGAGTTTACAGTTCTTTAACAATTTTACATTGAACACTCCAAACATTGTACAACCACAGATTTGTGAACAGTCTTGAGAGAAAGCTGTATTTTGGTACAGTAAAGCAGCTTCAGCCAACAATTTAAGAAGTTCTGAGTATTTGTTGCAACAAAAGACAAACTTGATAATTTAATATTCAGCGTTTGCAAGAAATTTCAAAAGTCACTTAAAGAAAACCATAATTTGTAAAACTGTGGTCTTAAACATTTTTATCACTATATTCTTACCACATAAGACTCACCTAAAATCAAGATACGCATCCTATCAATATCAAAGATCTCTTTTTGAAAAGGGAGGATTTACATTAAATATGAGAATGACAAACCCTGTACTTAAACATGGGCTTTCAGAAAGTCTCTCACACCCATCTGTGAGGTAGGTTATTATCCTCGTTTTTTGTAGGTGAGAAAACAATGAGGTTACACACCCTGTGCTTGCCACAGCCGCCCGACTCAGACCAGACTCCAAGTGAGATTCCACTCTTTGCTCTGCATCCATCGCTTCTTTCCTTTACAAACTTTTTAAAGGGTTGAAATATAAAGATTTCTATTCATTTGCATTCATTTTAAAAACATCGTAAGCGAGCCAAACTTTTATTAAGGTGACTTAAAAAGCAAAGCAACACAAGAGAAATAGAAAAAATACATCTACTGGCCGACCTCCGACGGTGCCAGGGTGAGGTCTGGCCACAGGAACCTGAGAACAGACTCGAGCA